GGAGGATGGGTAAAGCATTCTGCTCATTCGATGATTTAGAAATATAAGAAATACTTCTATGCATACATACATGCGGAACTTGCCCTTATCATACCTGCAGGAAGAGCAGCCCCCAAAATATGCTATTGCTGAGGACCCAAAATAGATTTTTATTTTATATCCTGACAGCAGCAGCCCTCAAAAATCAGAGGCACTCCTATACGCTCTTGCAGCTGAACAATCCAGCACCCTCTGCATGTTTTGGATTGCACTGTCCATCATCCGAGCCAGTTGTTGAGGATTATGGGAGGGGTGGTATTCCATGAAATTTGGAGGATGCTGGCCTAAAAGCCCACATGAAAAGCCATACGACCAAAGGCCCATCCAATCCGGCACTCTGTCCACACGGTGGCAAACCAGCTGCCTGCGGGGTCCCTCAAGTAGGGTGGGTGGGTGGGTACCCTCCCCCTGCCCAGCTCCTCAATACCTGGGGCATGCAGGCAGGCCACCTCTGGCCAAGGAGGTGGCCCAGAGCCAGCAAGGCTGGTAGCCATGGGCAGCCTCCTCCCTCGTGAATCTGCCCAGTGCCTTTTTAGCACCATCCAGACTGGCGGCCATCACCACGTCCCATGGCAGCAAAGTCCACAGTTTAACTAAATGCTGTGTAAATAAATATTTCCTCTTATCTGTCCCAAACCTCCCACCAGCCAGCTTCATGGGATGACTCCAGGTTTGAGTGCCATGGGAGGGGGCGAGAAACCCTTGCCCCTGCCCCTTTCTCCACACCGTGGTGTATTTTAAGCACCTGTATGGGCTCCATTAGTCGTAGCCGCTCCCCAGAGGGGGCCTGGCCTGCTCAGGCCCCCTGTCATCTTTGTTGCTCTTCTCTGTACTCGGGAGACTGCCGCAAAGGCTGCACCCAGACAATCTGGCTACTTCCTGTACAGATTTCCTGTAAATCTCTGCCTCCAAACTGGACGGGAAGGTGCTTAATGCCAATTCTTCTTCTCAAAGGTTTGCTGTGATAGCACAAACGCAGACGGCAAATCTCAGAAGTATGGATGGGCTACCGTTTTAGCACAGTGGAGAAAACTCTTCACAGGATAAAAGATTGCATGAGATGCGTCTTTTGAAGGCACACCCCATTAGATTTCTGTAAGGACTTGAAACATGGTCAGCCTAAACTGCTGTTAGTCATTCTGTCCATTCTATGGCTTTCCTTGAACAAAGCTTTTATCCCATTATGTGTCTTCTGCTTTATATGTAACATTTTTACACCCTAGTGTGTTATGTTATTTGTCACAGTAGTTAAGAAAACTGGAGGAAGCATCCTCAAGGAACGTCCAGGTCATGTTGGGAATGTTTGATGAATGCTACGTTTGACTTACACTTTTAATGTAAAATGAGAATGAAGGAAGCTTGGTGAGGTTCTACATTTTTGTGCCAGACTCTTCAGACCCTCCTTTTATTGTGTCAGGGCAAAAGCCTGGCAGCGACACGTATTTTGCGCTTGATTGTCCCCAAAGGGGGCAGGAGGCATTCTGGCCTAGGAGATCACAGAGAAATCCCCGTTCGGACAAAGGCAGTCTTGCTGTGCTACTGTAGACACAACTTCCATGATTGCACACACAGAGAAAGGAAGGAATGCCACAGCAAGTGCTCACCAGCAGGCTGTGGGAAGAGCCGGGCTTTTGCTCTTCCTGTGACTGATGTCATGAAACTAGACAGTGTGTCAAGTTTCCTTTCCTCTGGGTGTGTGCCTGGAGCCGCTGGGGCTGGGGGTGGCGTCTGATCCTCTCTGTGCCCCGAAGGCGGCCAGTAGCTTGAAGGAGGGACAGCTTCTTCTCGCCTTTGTTCAAGAGATGGTGCCACGAGGGAAGCAAGGGGAGGCTCTGGGTGCCCCACAGGGTGGGAGGCCATGGCATGCCTCCCAGCTTATTTTGCCTCTTCTCTTGGAATACTAGCACCGGTATTTTCCAAGATGCCTGGATGGCTCCTCCAAAAACGGAGAGTGGGAGGAACATCTTTCAGGCTGAGGGGTAAACTGCATTTCGGAGAAGGGGGCGGGGGCAAAGGCAAAGGGTGGAGCTAAAGTACAGAAGGCTCAAAGCAATGACTGCCAGTCATGGTGACTTAGAGGGGAGAGGGCTTCCAACCTTCTGGACTAGGGCACGAGGGTTGCAAAAGCCTGGAAATCGGGGAATTGCCAGTGGTTGGTGAAAGGAAGCAGGGCCAGAATCGGCCTGTGTGCCTGCGTTCCTCACCTGCAATGAAATAAACTCCAGGTAGTCTGTGAATTATGTCTCGTCTGACTGGGAGCAGGTAGGATAGTCCAAGCACTGCAGTGCAGAGCTGCACTAAACTCACAGAATAAAATACCTGTTCCTTACTTGGAAACATCCTAATTTGTCCAGAATGCTCTTTATCTGTTTCAGTTTCCAGCACTTTGCTGCCGACTTTGGGACTTTCTGTAGGGCAGGACATGGAAGATAAAAGCTTGCCTTAAAAAGCTGAAAGATGAAATGCTGAGCCAGGGATTTCCGTGCTGCAGAACCTGTGGACAAATGGGCAAACGCTTGTGTTGCATGTATGCATATTTCGCGAACTTTGCAGCAAGAATGGCTTAGCAGAGCTAGCAGGCAGCTGTAGTTCAGTGTGCACAGAAGGCACGGGGGCCATTTCAGAAGATGCTTGCAGAAGTGGGGCAGTGTCACGGCCAAGCAGACAATTCCTAAATGCATCTGAGCAGGCGTCTGGGACTGTTCGCAGGTGGCCTGTGCACACACCGTTTCCACACTCTCGCCACCCCTTCCAGTGCTTTCTCACATGCACAGGCCTTTTCCAGCCCAGCCCTGTGGCCGATTCACGCAGAGAGCTGTGGCTGCGATTTTCCCTGTCTCAGCTCTGCGAAGGGAAATCTCCAGTCTGCTGTAGATGAGAAGCAAGTCTTTTCCTGCACGAGAAAGGGCCAAGGCCTGGGGTAGGAGCTCACTGGGCTGGACAGGGCCTGGGGATGATGGGATGACATATCCCCATGCCTGCATGTTTTGTTGACGAAGCCTGGGGATGATGTGAGCTGCAGTCCAAAACATCTCTAAGAGCGTAGTGCTTAAGGCAACCCCAGAAGATGGACCCCCATCGCAAGGGGGAGTAGCTTGACTGAGGCCACTTCCCATGTGGGCAGCAAAGCCCAGGCTGAGCCAGGGGCCTCCTGGCTGCTGTGCAGCACTAATGCTCCTTAAGAGGCGCCTGGCCCCTCACCAAAACAGTTGGGGGGCTGCGATGACTGGGTGTCCTTGAGCTGATGGTTCAATGCTTTAAACAGCAGGTCGTTTCTGTCGTGCCACTTCTTGCTGAAGTTGCTGCAAAACGTACTGTTGGGCAGGCAGACTGAGATCCCACAGAAACAGGGACTCACCCACCCCAGGACGGGCATTCAGGCTGCCACAGCATCTGGGAGGCTCCTTCAACTCTGGCTTCTGAGCTTGGGGGGCTTTTTATTCCTCGCTTGGCTGTGTGCTGACCTCTCTGTGCCCTCGTAGCCCACTGAACTGCGTGCGTCCCCAGCCTTCGCCAACCCAGGCACGGGGGGCTGGAACTGCAGTCCTTTGTACTCGGTGGACCCTTTGGCTTTTAACCAGCAGAAAGAAACCCGACTGCTTCTGGGCCATAGGCTCTGCTTTACTTCTGATTCAGTTGGATCCCTTGGAAAGTTGACAGGGCTTGATTCCCACGAAGGCAGCCCAGTGACGGAGGACTCTGTGGGCTTTCTGGAAGTGCAGGGCCCCCTGGAGGGGTTAGGCCAGCTGCTGGTGGGGGCTGAAGCTTCCCTTCTCGAACTACCAAGCCCCAAGGACAACCTTTTGGGTGGCTCTCCAGGCCTAGTGAAGAACGAGCAACAGGCTGGTCCCCTCCCCTCCCGGACCCTCCCACTTGCCCGGATGCCTTCAGAGGACGTGTGAGCGGATGCGGCTGCTTCTGCTGCAGCAGATGCTCAGTGGGAAGCCCCCTTTCTGCCTCTATCCGAAGGAGGTGTGGGCACTTTTCCTCTATCACCAGGGCATCTCAGAGCATCCCAAGAACTTTGATCTTCTGGTTGTTTCGCCTATTACAATGTTGCATGTAGAAAGGGAAACAGAGCAGACATGTGTTTTTCCAAAACAAAAATATCTCAGCAGTATCAGTGTTGTTGAACCTTCAGGCCATGCCTAATTTGGTTGTTTATGGATATACAGATGGGAAGAGGGAGTGTGCTTCCTTTTGCTCCATTTGGACGGTGTAGATCAGTGCCTTCTCCACTGAATTGTTCTTATCGATGATTCTTGTGGTGTTGTAATTGTGTTGTATACTGCCCGGAGTGCTCCAACTTTGGATGGTGTTGCAAGTAAATAAAGCAAGCGAGCTTCAGCTCGTGTGTGGGACTCCATGGGAGAGAGAAGCCAGTAGGGCTGGGGTGGGTGAGAGGGTTAATTTGCGTACAATGGCAGACGCAAACAGTAGCACCTGCCATTCACGCTGCAATAATGCTGCTGTTGGCTGGACTTGGGATCACCTAACCTGGTCATTTTCCTGGCCGTACTACGAGAGAGATTCTGGGGTAGACCAGCACTTTGTCAAGCACCTTTGGTACCACTTTCTCAGGCTAAGTGGTCCCTTCTACCAGGTGCCACACGGGTAGTGAAGTAGTTCTTTATGCACATCCAAACTGCTTTTCACGGATGCATGTGGAATAGCCCCCTCGGTTCCCCCCATGAGCAGCGTTTCTGAATGCATTCTCTTTTTACACTCAAACTCTTTCACTCTGAGGGTTGTGGGAAAGGTTGAGGGTGGGTGTTGCGCAAATTACAACTTTCTAGAAGAGCAGCTTGACTGACTTTTCTTCTCCACTTCTCACCCACACTGGACTGGACCCGAATGCAAACAACCTCCAGGGCATGGCTCCTCTGACTGAGTGCAAGGGCCGATGTGGGCTTGTGTAGCATGAATCTGGAGTATTAATTCCGCCCTTTTCCTTATTCCAGATCAGTGTGCGAGTTACCACTATGGATGCTGAGCTGGAATTCGCCATCCAGCCCAACACGACTGGGAAGCAACTGTTTGACCAGGTAAGAGGACTGTGTCCCAGGATCTGTGTACACACCGACTGCCTTGTTGTCCGCTGAGCTAACACTGGATGTCAGCATTTCACCAAGTAAGGAACAGGACTCTGCGAACTCGTCTTCTATGTGCAAATCTCAGTGTTCTGAATGGGCCACCAAAACCGTGTGGTTAGACAAGAAAGCAAGAACATAGTAAGCTGCAAGGGGGCATTAAGTAATAATGGGGTGCGGTCCTGGGATATCCCATTTTGATACTTTGAGGAACACGTGGAAGCTTCTTTTTATCTGACACGTTTAGAGCCCGGGAGCAAGTTGGAATCCATCATGATTCTTGAATGGGGGACTGGAGACCTGACTGTAGCCATCTTGCACTTTAATAACTCTAGAGGCAGTGTGGCGTCGTGGTGAAGAGCTGGGACTGGGACTCAGAGGATCCGGGTTCGAGTCCCCGCTCGGCCATGGAGCCAACTGGATCTCTTTGGGCCAGTCGCAGACTCAAAGCCTGACCTACCTCACAGGGTTGTTGTTGTGGGGGTAAGATGGAGGAGGGGAATGGTGTAAGCTGCCTTGAGCTCTTGGTAGGAAAAAGGCAGGATATAAATCGGAAAATAAATAAAAATAAAATACTAACAACAGCACTTTCAGGAGCAGAAGGAGAACTGCATTTGGGCAGATGCCACTTGGACCAGGATTAAGCACCCCAGGTCTGGGGATCTGAAGCCAGTCCTCCTGGGAAGTCCACTGCCCCCACCGCCGGCAGCTGGCAATTCTTTGGTGGTTTCCCAGTTTCGTGCCATTTTTCTTCATTTTAAAAGAAGGAAATGCCTCTCTAGTTTTATGTTATCACCAGTTAGAGCTTTCAGGAAAAGCTCGCTGGTGGTATCGTCGTCGTCGTCGTCACCACCACTGCCACCAAACACTTGACCCTGTTTCCCCAGGGATTTGGCCATAGCCAAATAACTGGGGGGCAGTGTCACAACCACACCGCTTCTGGCACGGAAATTAATGTTCACATCGTAGTTGGAAGTATCTTACAAACCTGCCCCAGGTCTGCTGTTCACGCGCCTCTGACCATTCCTCCCACAACGCCTTTGTGGACTGGAAGCTGCCTGATCCCGGCTGGGTGCTCGCCTGCGCTCGCTCTTCCCCCTCTGCCCCTGGAGAAAGCTCAGAAAGTTGGGCAAGCAAAATGTAGAGCTGAAAGTGATGGGGAAACTCTCTGGACTTCTCCAGCTTTGCTGCAAAGGCACAGCCCCACACTGGCCACCCCCCGGCACTTTGACGAGCCGGCACAGTGAGGCCATTCCCACTGCTGACACCGGAGCGCCAGGAGGATGGCTGCCGGGGGGGGGGGGCATCGAGGCAGAGAAGGCGGGGACCTTCCCCAGCCCAGCTGTCCTCCAGTTGTTTTGAACTACAGTTCTCGGCTTCTGTGCCCATTGTGGCTGGTGAGTGGGCCCAACGGTGGGCCTTGTCCCTGCTGTTCTAGCCAAAACATCTGACGGGAGCCTCCTGGGGAAGACTGTACTGGGTTAAACCCGGCTCCTCCAACCTGGTGTCAACCAGAAGTGCAGTGGGAAACTCCAGAGAGCAGGCTGAGATGGGTACGAGTAGAAGCTGGCTTGGCATCATCAGTCCAACCTTACAGCATCTGGTTGAGAAGGCAGATCAACTGAGAAGCATCAGAAATTCCTGGTGGTTGGCCCATAAACCACCCAATCCATCATGCCAGCTCTTCTTGGAAGCGGGGAGAGAGAGCTCTTCAGTTTGGAATCATTATTTCTCCATTGGCCAGTGTTCTAAGCGTCTTCCATGGCACCAAGCTAGCCTAGCTGGTCAGGGGTGACAGAATAAGGACTTTTCCTTGGAAAATTTCATCCTAATCTGCTTGGAGGGAGGGAGAGAAGATCCATCCACCACAAAGAGTCATCTGTCCCAGCCAATGGCCAGATGCTGGGAGTTCGTATCCAAAACATCTACAGGACACCCAGCTAGAAAGAATTAAACACACCCAGGACAACTTAGTTGTTTATATAGTTCCTAAAGAGATGCTGAACTCTCCCCTGCTCCCTTAAATATCTGTCTTGATAGCGTCTTCCTGAAAGATGTTTTTTTACAAAGGCTCCTCGGAGGTGGTCCTCTCAGTTATGTTTTTCAGTTTCTAAGGGAGTGAATTCATGGCAAGTGACCTCATAAAATCAACGGACTCATCATCTACATTGTTGTACCCAAGCCAGACTCTTAACTGTGTGGCCGGGACTTGTGTCCTTAATCACACATGAACTCTCTAGAAACCAAACTGCTGTGAACTTGTGTTTTAAACCTGCACGAGTGGGCCAGACTCTGTGCCTGTGGATGTCCAGGTGGAAGAGGGGTTCTCCTTCATCAGAGGGAAGCGTGTGGGGGAGCCACCCATCCTTTCCTCACACGCCCCTCTCTGATTAAGCAGAGGGAAAAGGCGCGCCCCCTCTGCCCTCGCTACGGAGCGGCGGCCCCATTTACTATTTGCAGGTCATCAAATAGCTCATGGACGGATGTAGTCAGCTGAGTGCTCTCGTGTAAAACAGCCTGACATGCTGCGAGGCAGGATTTAAATACTGCACAGGACTTCCAAAGTGAGTAAGAAACTCTAAAACAGCCACATCGAAAGACAGGGTGCAAAATGAAAAGTCTTCTGCAGTGGGAGACAGGAGGCCGAACAATTAAAATGCAATAATTTGCTTTAAAAAAACCTGGCATGCTTTTCACCCTATGTGGTGTTTTAGCAGTTTTAAACCTGGGGGCCTGGGAGGACAGAGCAGGCAACCGATGGGAGCATCCCTGGGAAAGGGTCCAGCCGCAGAGAGGGCCCTTTCATTCTTTGGCTGCCTCCTGCTGGTCTTTGAGCACAACCTTGGGGTGGGAAGATTCCCTTGGGATCCGATTGCAGCCTGAGTTGCTCCTGCTTGGGTGGACTAAGAGGACTAAGCTGCCCAAGCTAGGCCCTGTCCCGCCTGGCCAGTTCTCTGGGGGGGGGGGGGTGAAGGGGGTTGTATTCCAACACATCTGGGGGACCCACACCCAAGAGGGTCGCTCTAAGGATCGATGCCTCACTCAGCCTTGCTGTTCTGTTGCTCTCCGTGGGCGGGAACCCTGCCAAATTTGAGCACTGGTTCTGATTTCAGTGTCTGGATAAAATCTGCATGTGAAAATAAATATTGGGCTTTCCTGCACACATTGTATCTTCCTGGTTTTGGTTTGTTCCATCCTTTAATGTCTGTTTACTCTCAGCTGTAACAATACCACCTCTTCCATAGCATTCTCTGCTTGCTGCTGTCTAAACAGGAGCCGGCAGGCTTTCGGCGCGAAAAGGACTGGCTGTGCCACAGACGCATCTTGTTTTAGCGTCTAAGCTGCTGCCGTGCGTGTTCACACAGGGACAGCGGTTGGCCATGTCTTGCCTTCTGAAGGTGCCTCCCTGGGCCACCCCAGGCCACTGGTTTATTGGGGGGGGGGGGGCTTCAGGAGGGGGAGGAGTTGGAGAAGGGGGCACTGTAACCTCCCCACATGATCTGCTCCAACATCCTCTTCACTCGATATTCTTTTTTATTTTATTTTACTAAAATTTTTAAACTAACACTAAAAACATCAATCATTACATACACTGGATTTACTGGGTCGACCCCCTACTACATATTTTTAACCTTCTATATTCATATTTGCATCAGTTTATAATAACTTGAAAACATCTCTAAATTTACGCCAAATCCCATTTCTCCAGCCAATTAAAAAAAAAAGTTCCAAATTTGATAGAAGTCACTATCTTCTTTCTCCTGCATCAGTAAGAACAGTCCATCCATTTCTTACAAAGTCCTGTTTCTCTTAACCAATATTAAAGGAAAGAATCTCCAAGTTGGATGTAAAGCTGCTTTGGCGGCTGCCGTGGCTTCTCCCATGTAGCTTGTTCTTCTCTTGGGACATATCATGTAGTAGGACCTACCCGTAGGGAAATGTCTTTGAAAGACTAGGTCCACCTCCTGCTTCCAGTGCAGCCGTCGCTCGGATGCCGAGATGGACAGCACGGATGGGCAGAAGGTGGCTGTCCAAACGATGCCACTTTCAGTTCCTGGCATTCCTGACCATTGGCCAAGCTGGCAGGGACTTCTGGGAGTCTGAGACTCCTCTCTGGTGTCTGCCCACCTTAGATTACAGCCGTTGTGCCTCTATAATTTAATTTGATGGGTCCAGTGGCCAGACAGTTCCAGGATGCCTACGACAGTAGCCAAATGGACCGAATAGTGCTTTAATCTCTGCTCCCCAAGACACAGAGACCCTAGACCTGTCTTTTAAAGTCCCTGCAGGGAATTGGATCTGGTGTTCCCAAGCTGAAGTGTGGCAAGCATGCTGAAATTTAACCAAGTGGGGCTATTCTGAACATGAATGTATCTTCGGCTATATTGGTGAGCCTCCAGTGGTGCTGTTGTGAGGCAGGCATAATTTGCAGTGGTGTTCTCCAGTGTGGCCCCTTCCAGAAGTGTTGCACTACAGCTCCCATCAGGCCTTTCTAGAAAAGGATTTCGCCTGACATCTGGCCACACTGGTGGTTGTGCAAAGCGAGGCCTGCAGGAGCGACTGGATGAAGGCTGTGCGTCCCATGTGGGCTTCCCTGGGCCTGCCCTTCAGTGGGAGGGTCAAGAATTCTGGAAGCTGCTGTGCCAGGACTGTGATAAAGAATCTAATCTGCTCTTTTACGAATGCTGCCCTGGAATTCAGCAACTGTCTCTGGACAATTGCAACAGGAGGAAGTTGGTTTGCAAAGGAAATAACCCATTCAGCTCTGGCAACAATGGGAAATAAAGCCGATTGTTCCAACTTTATTTTTGCTGCCTGACTGAATGTTCTAGCTTGCCCAATCTGCCTTGTGGAAGAAAAATAAAAACAGCTTGGCTAACTTGTCTCTTCTCTCTCTTTCTCCTCTGACAGTGCTGTCAGAGCCCTGTTTTTAATTCTGCAACTCTGCACATCAGGCGGTTGAATTGTTGACACAATGTGAACCGAGAACTCAAATTACACTGCTGGTATCCAGTACTGTGAAAAAGATGGCCACCGGTGACCCGCTTCAGGCCGAAAAACGCCTTTCCTCAGCCCCCATTTTGGGCCATACTTACATTGCGGCCCCGCCCCCAAATCAAACGACTTCCCATCCTGTGTGGTGGAGGCGGGAAGCTGGCATTGTTGCAAAAGGGTGACCTGCCGCAGCCTGATGTGGTTGCCAGAACAGAGCCGTGTCCCTCCCAGGCTGTCCAGGCCTTAGGAAAGTGCAGGCAGGTCAAAGCAGCAAATTAAGTGAACACACAAAGGACAAAGCAGCATATAAAGGGAATGCAGGAAGGGGGTTTGTCCCTTGCTCCAGCTCAGTGTGTGAATAGAATCCTAGAGGGGTCAGTCCCATGATTCAAACCTGCAGGTTCCACATCGTGTGTACCTTTGCAACCCTCATCAGCTGATTGCCCTGTTGCCGGTTAGAATAAGTAGAGCTGCTGCTTGGGAACGTGGCAATCGCTGCTAAGGGTCATGCCAGGGGTGGTGGCACGATATGATGAGATGCAGTCGGCCACAGTTCTGGATTAGGACCAAAGCCTGCAGGGAGTGAGGGTCAATCCTTCCCTCTGTGCTACACTCGAAATGCAAATCACTCCCTGAAAGTGCAGCGCTGGGAGCGCTTGCTTCCCTGCAGACTCCCAAGAATGGCGCTGCTGCAAAACGGTTTTGCTGCACATGCCCGTTTCTGTGCCATGTCCTCAGCGGTGCCGGGCAGGAGGCAGTCCCTGTGAGCCCAGGACTTGCCGAACGTGCTAATTCTTTTGTTTCTCTGTGCTTTTCCTGAACAGGTTGTAAAAACAATAGGCCTGAGAGAAGTTTGGTTCTTTGGACTTCAGTACCAGGACACCAAGGGCTTCTCAACATGGCTGAAGCTGAACAAAAAGGTAATGGGGGGGGGGGACTCCCCCTTCTCTGTTGCCTTCCCCCAAAAGATGGGGCTGCTCTCTCTCTGGCAAGCAGCACCCCATGTGCTCTTTCGCTCCAGATTGCTCTGAGCATTCCACGGTGGTGAAATAGGCCCCTGCAAGAAGCACAGTTTTTGTCATCCCAAGGAACTGATCTCTGCCACTCGCTTTCTCTCCCCCTTTCCCCCGGTTTCCCCTTCCAAGCGTTCCCCCAGGGCAGTCCTTAGCCCGGTCGCAATCTGTGTCCTCCCAGTAGGCAAGAAAAATTCTGAAGCCAGCTGACCGTCGATGCACGCATCTAAACTTGATCTCGCTACGGTCTAGAACAGTTGTAAATAAATATTAAAAATTTGCTTTAGGTGACAGCTCAGGACGTGCGCAAAGAGTGTCCGTTGCTGTTCAAGTTCCGCGCCAAGTTCTACCCCGAGGATGTGGCAGAGGAGCTGATTCAAGACATCACGCAGCGCCTGTTCTTCCTCCAAGTGAAGGAGGGCATCTTGAACGATGACATCTACTGCCCCCCGGAAACTGCTGTCCTCCTGGCTTCTTATGCCGTCCAGTCCAAATACGGAGACTTCAACAAAGAGGTGCATAAGCCAGGCTACCTCGCTGGTGACAAACTGCTTCCCCAGAGGTAAATCCAACCCAACAGGTCTCCGGGGTTTAAAGGTGGGTCGCCGTGCCTCGCGGCGGCCTGGTCGGCTTCCGTTGGTCCCAAGCCTCAGGAAAGGTGCAGATGAGCAGCGTTCAGGGACCTCCCCCGACACATGATTGCAATGGTCGTACGGCAAGAGTGGGCAGTTCTGCTTTTCTTGAAAAATGCAACCGAGTGAAGGCGTAATGGAGGCTGACGGTGTAAAGGCACTAGGGTGGGGTGTCGGAGCGAAGACCTTTCCCCCACGTGGGGCCAGGGTCTTCAGCCGCGCAGTGGAGGTGCAAGCTGGAGGGCCTGGGAACAGTTCCCATGGCCTTAGGGCACGCCTCCCACGCGGAGACCATCCCTGGGGGAGTGCTAAGGACGGGCCCATCTTGGAGCACGAGAGGACTCCGGTTGCTTGAGGCCAGTGTTGCCACAGCACTAGAAAAATGGCTTTCTCCTGACATATTTGGCTGTTCTTTGTTTCCTAGGGTTTTGGAACAGCACAAACTCAACAAGGATCAGTGGGAGGAAAGGATCCAGGTGTGGCATGAAGAACATCGGGGGATGCTCAGGTACAGCTGAAGTGAGAGCAGAACTTGCCCTGTGCTGTATGGTGTGTTGTCTGTGTTGCTGGAATTGAAATGCCGCATGATATCCCTTCAGGTCGAATGCTGCAAGGGCTTCTAAGCCCTTAATCGTAATCCTTACAGCCTGGCATTCTTCCCAAGCTGCAGATAGGAAGTGAGAAAACGGGCAGCGGCTTATTTAAAGCCATGAGTGAGTCTCATGGCCTGGGACCAGAATAAGATCCCGGGACTTCCCACTATCACATTTGTAGCCACTGTAGTACTCCAGCGCTCACATGGAATTTAGCAACTTGGATCTCATCCAAAGCATTGGGTAAGATTCCCTGCCTGTAACATCGCTGGTTAGAGGAGATGCTGGAAAACTCCCTAGTGGAGCCAGGGAAAGTTCCATTATTTCAGGGCATCCTCCGTGCTCCACCTAAGCTCCAGTCTTTTTTTTTTCCTCCCCTAATTAACTTCCCGGTAATCTCCAGTCACGCTGTAGTTACAGCTCCTCTTACATACACCCTTTTCTGTGAACGTGGCTTCTGACGGGCGTGGGTCTGGGGAAGGAACACCCCTTCTACATTTTCGGTATTTTTTTTTTTAACCTTTGGCTTCCCAGTGGCACCATTTGGACTATGACCCTATCAGGGCTTGCTGCTGCTTTTGAGTGATCACATTTTAGTCTCCAGAGTTCTTCATGCACGTCTTCCTTTCCGTGGCATGGCTTGGGTGGCAAGTGGCACCGTGAATGCTGGGAAGTTGTGGCACCCTGCAAATGGAAGGTCTGAACCTGGAGAACAGGCTTCGCTTCATGGCAGAGGCCAGACCTTGGGCCAAAGTAACTCTTATCTCTAGTTCCTAGCCAACAACGGCTAAAAATTCTTCAGAAGAGGCTTGAAGTTCACCCTGCAAGGTTCCATCTTTGGCCTTAGGTTTGGTGAGTTTGAGTCCTGGGCTCAAATTAAGATCAGCCCCGGGTGGCCTTGTACTGTGTTCCATCTATTTTTAAGGTGCGTGTGAATGCAGAGGGAGATGATCTGCATGCACCATCTTGAACGCTTTAGCTACAGTCTTTCCGATAACCGAGTCTTGCATTTCTGCCTTCCTCAGACCAGTGAGACAGGAGCTTCGAGCCACTTGTGCTTGGAGTCCTGGCTGGATAACCCCTTGGATCTGCTCGGGGGCTTGTGAGTGTCAAAGTCGAGAGTTCCAAAGGGGTTCACATGCTTTGATCGTTGTAAGGCTCCGGCTCCCAGATGATTGGCACAGGGAACCAGACAGAGATCATCCTTCTCTGCAAGCAGGCTGGACACTAAGAGTGTGGCCCCGTCCTAGTTATAGGTGCTTGACTCGCCAGTTCTGCTGTCTTTAATGCTCAGTCAGGATTCGCATATTAAACCCAAAGTGTGTTTTGTCCTCTTGTGTACTTCCAGAGAAGACGCCGTCCTGGAATATCTGAAAATTGCACAGGATCTGGAGATGTATGGTGTGAACTACTTCAGTATTAAGAATAAGAAGGGATCAGAACTCTGGTTGGGAGTAGACGCCCTTGGACTCAACATTTATGAGCATAATGACCGGTAAACATCTACCTGTGATCTTCCTGTGTATGGGGGAGAGAGAGGAGTGGAGGAAATAGGAGGTCTGTGAGGACAGACCAAGGGGCCTTCCAGGCCACCAGCCTTCCTGCACTTCTGGCCGGTTGAATAGTTCTGGGAAGTCTGAATGGGCCAACAAGGAGCGATGGCCGTATGTTTTACCTCCACCCACAGCTCTCCCAGCTGGATCGCGGGAGGCTGGGAGGAGGTAGTCAAAACAGTGGCCACTTTCTCGCTTTGACCCCGGCCAGCACCATCCATTCTTACGCTGCCTCAGAAGATCCTCAGCTCCCAGGGCCAATGGATTTTGCTAGCCCTGCTGCCCACGGGGAGCAAGAGGGGGTCACACAAGATGGTGCTCTCTCCCCTAGCCTGCACTGTTTTGTAAATTGGGCAGTTTTGCTCCTGCCTAAAAATGTATGCCTGGATGGGACCAGAGTCTAATACGCCACCTCACTCAATTTGGGTATCCACTCTGCTTGCATTTAATTCAATGTCAATTAAGTTCATCCGGATTTTGTAAATTCTGAGCAGTGTTATTTTAGATTCACACTGGTAATTTCAAATCTTATAATCTCTCACCGGTAAATCAGAACTTGCAAATTGTAAATTGAAGGCATGTTGTGGGATGACTGAAGTTGCTCAGACTGGTTTGGCTTTTGAAATAGTAAATCCCTCTCTTGCTCACCTTTTTCAGGTTAACACCCAAAATTGGATTTCCATGGAGTGAGATCAGAAATATTTCATTCAATGATAAGAAGTTTGTTATCAAGCCGATTGACAAGAAAGCACCAGTAAGAGGCCTTTTCTGGCTCTAGTATTTGACCACATGGGTTGGTTCACACATGGGACTGAAAAGCAGCGAGTCTGGTGGTTCAAGGAGCTAGCTGGCTTTAGTGGGAACGGCTGAAACCAGAGCTAGCACTGGAACCCTGTGGGTGAAGTGCAGACTTGTCTTCTTGTCGATGAAGGTGATACAAATGGTTATGCAGCATTTTAGGGACCCATCCATGTGTGCGGGTCCAGGGGTAGGACCTGTTCGATGTTATGGCATGTAGTCATTTTGGTAAGGAAGCTGGGAGAGGTGGCGTTCTCCACCCGGGTCACAGTATGCAGATTTGAAATTAAGAGATCTTTTTTGTCATCTGCGAGGGTGAGAGGACAGCCAGACCCTGGCCCTATTCAGCCATGCTGAGCTTGCCTCGAACCACTGTGACCACTCTGGTTCACGGTAGAAACACTCCAGAGCTTACTTAGCTTCTCTGAGCACTGCCCTCTTGGCTCTTAAGCATCTGCTTTGCTTTTCTGGATCAGCAGTGATCCCCCAAATCCATGTCCTCTCGCTTGTGTGGCAGCCTCCCTGCGGTATGAGATGGTCTGTATTCTGGAGAAAGGGCATAATGGTGCTGAAACCTTGCACTGCTTTTCCCTTTTCCTGCATGATGGGGTTTTTGTAACATGCACAACGTATGCCCTCTTTCAGCAGAGATATTGTCCAGACATGCCTAAGTTATTTGAAAGGTTTCCTCAAAGGGCATTTTGGAGAACTGAATTTCAGGCCAGTTTTCCAGGTGGCTGGGATCACTGGGAAGCCTTTCGGACCGCCTTGTTCTGGAAGAACCCTCAGCTGGGATCATGATGCAGGAAATGGGGGTCTTGCAGCCGCCACCGAGGCAAACAGCTGCCCCTGGAGAGGCAGTGGGGTGGAGGCCCTCTCGCTAATCCTGTCCTTTCCCCTCCTTTCTTGCAAAGGACTTTGTATTCTATGCCCCACGGCTAAGGATTAACAAGCGCATCCTGGCTCTCTGCATGGGGAACCATGAGCTCTACATGCGGAGGCGTAAGCCAGACACGATTGAAGTGCAGCAGATGAAGGCCCAAGCCCGGGAGGAGAAGCACCAGAAGCAGATGGAGAGGTGTGTGCAGCGGAGCTCGGAGCATGCGGCAACGGCTCGTGCGTGCCCGTGAGTCACAGCAGCCGAGCCGTGGCAATCTGCCGGAGGATCTCATGGCACGCTTGGCATGCCACACGTCGGCTGAGGCCTGCACCCTTTGCACCTGCAAATTCCACAAATCATTGTGTGGTTAGCAACTGGAGTCTTCGCCGAGCCTCCCAGTCGCTGGCCCGGCAGTGTGCAAAGCGCGGAAAGCTGGCACATCCAGGAGTGGGGCCTTCTCGGTGGAGGCCCCGCATTGTGAAGCAAGCGCTCTGCTGAGGTCCCCCTGGCCCTGAATCTGGTGCCTTCCAGTGCCAGGCTAGGAATGTCCTCTCTGTCAGGGGATTTAATCAGACCAAATAGTATACTGAGCGTTACGTCAGCTTCCCAACTGGTCTTTTATCTTAATGGTGCTATCGATTGTGCTTGTTCAAATGCGGCACACCCTTCCCCTGGACCCTCCAGTTAATCATTATTCAGGGGTTGTGAGCTTCTGCACTGTTTTGCGTAGTGTCCTTAAGGGTTTAAATGCCACTCTTAGGGGCTTTATTATAGATGCAGGTCAAGTTTAGAATTTTTCTGAAAACGACTTAAAAGTTTAGGCAACACTTTCCTCCAATGAGGAATGAGCAACACACTGTTTTGGGTCTGTTAATTTCATAAATATTCAGCCACAAGTTGATTCCACCCAGTTTCCACATCTTTAAAAAATGGAATTAGCACATTTTCATATACATTTCCCCTAATATAAACATTTTTTGTGAGCAGTTTCTGAGCCAAGAATTCAGAGGGCTGTACTGTTAAATGAAGTATGTGCTCCGGTCCACATATTGCTCCAGGAAGTGCAACTTATCCCATGCATTAAGACAGGAGGCTTATTACAAGAGAAGTTTGGATCTTGGGGATTTTGCTCAATGCCATCAGAATACTGGGCAAAAACCTTTTTATTTGTGCAGGCATTTTAAAACAAGCTTTCAATTTTTCTGTACTGCTAGCTTTACATTTCTGTCTTCTAGTGACTGAAATAGTTTTATGCCTCTCAGTCTTTCAATATTTAGTTTTCCGACCGGAGTGTGTTGTTTTTAGATCAGTTTGCACGCATCATGCTAAAATCCTACTTAAGAGGAAGACATAGTCTATCAGTGTTGCAAATAATAAACAGATTGGGTTGGTTTATTTTAAAATGTAGACCCAATGAAATATTCCCACCAGCATTACTTCCAGCTTAGTCAAAGAAAAAAAATGATGAAAGGAACATGTGATTGCCCAGTACGAAATACTTTCAGCAGAGAGAGAAACCCCAACCCAGGGTCTGTTGTAAAGGAAATTGCATCTTTTTTTCAGTCCATTGGTTTAACTTTACGTTATTGTTCATATTTCTGTCCCTTCCAGAGCCTTGTTAGAGAATGAAAAGAAGAAGAGGGAGCTGGCGGAGAAGGAGAAAGAGAAGATTGAGCGTGAAAAAGAGGAACTCATGGAACGGCTCAAGCAAATTGAGGAACAAACCAAGAAAGCTCAGCTAGGTAGGAAAAGCGCCTTTTGCTGAGCTGTGGCTGGAGCAACTGGCTCAATGCAAACTGGCGGAGTTCTCAGGGGGACCGGTTGCGTTTCCAGAGAACTGCCCTGCCTTACCCCTGCCCTGTTTCTCCGTGTCGCTTCAGAGCTGGAAGAGCAGACCCGCCGGGCACTTGAGCTGGAGCAGGAAAGGAAGCGAGCTCAGGAGGAAGCAGAGAAGCTGGCGAAGGAGCGGCAGGAAGCCGAGGAGGCCAAGGAAGCCTTGCTGAAGGCATCGCACGATCAAAAGAAGACCCAGGAACAGCTGGTGGGCTGGAGCTCCTCCTTCTCCTCCTCCTCCTGTATCTTTCTGGGACTTCTCTGTTTGTCGCACCATCAATGCAAGGGCAGCACTGGGGGGGGGGGGCACGGAAGCGAGGGCCAGGGTGCCGCTGCAGCTCCTCCTGAGGAAGCGGTGGGAGGGGGGTCCTGGGGAGGGTGGCAGTGAGGACGAAAGGCCCAAGGCACAGGCTTCCCGAGAAGGAAAAGCGGGTGCTCAGCACCTTGCAGAGGGGGTGAGCGTTCATGTGGTGCCTGTAAACATGCTGCCTTGGTTGCCCGGGAAGGCAGCCGTCCACCCAGCCTTGGCGCTCGTGGGTCGGCCCAGATGCAGCTCAGTTGCCGCCTCCTGCTCCGTGGGCCCATGCGGGCCCGAGTCGATGGAAGCCACCACCCAGCAGCACCTCCAGGGGCACAGGGTGCCACCGTTGCAACACAGTCTCCCTCTTTCTGTGAAATCCTGCAGGACCCTTATGGGATATAACTGCAACCCCCCCCCGCCCCGCATGGATTTGGAAAGACCCCAATTTTGCCCAAGCTGCAATGCTTGAACGATTGCAGAGCGTATGTGTTTGTCCTGTCGGTGCACCCTGAGGGTCCCACAGGGCTGCTTTGTGCACTGCAGCCGAGCAAAAGCCGGGCTGGCAAATACTCGCGTGGTCCGTTTGCCCCCCCCCCGTTGCTGACCGTGCCTTGTCCACCCTGCAGGCTGCTGAAATGTTGGAGCTCACAACCAGGATCTCACAGCTGGAAATGGCCCGGCAGAAGAAAGAAAGCGAGGCCGTGCAGTGGCAGCAGAAGGTGAGTGGCCGCCTTGCTTGTTGCTGTTTGTCGCGAAGAGCTCTTTACTCTGTGCTGATGCCTCGTTAGAACAGTGAATTCTGAGCTGTGGCAAGAGGGAGAGCAGAAGTCTGCGGGCAAGAGCTGGCTGCACATGCGTGTCTGCGGCGGCACAGATGTGGCACGGCCCAGAGGCAAGCACGCGCTGCTTTCCCACAATATGCTGCTTCAGACGACACCCCACAAAAACATGCACATGTTTCCTCTGAACACCCCACATTATATGTGATGAGGAGCGCGATGCAGTCCATGCTGAATTCCAGGCGTGGCAGCCTTACCGGAAAGCTCACACAAAAGGGTCTACACAAAGATTTTCCCGCCTGCTCACACATCCTAGTCTGGTCCTTGGTAGCATCTCTGCCAGGAATCCTAGTCACCAAACTGGGGCATGTGCCTTTGCCCAGCCACCTATGGACAATTCTCTCCTGCTGCAGATCGGCAGCCCTCTGGGTCTTTACAGGCCTCGGTGCTGGGAAGGAACCCCATAAAGGCGAGTCGGAGCCTCGTGTGTTTTATCTGTGTCAGTGCATTAGCGAGAATTTGGATGGCCGACGTTGGCAAGCTGGCTTCGCTGCCTTCGTCACTAACCCATTGGTGGGTGATCCTTCCTCCTCCTCCAGGCCCAGATGGTTCAAGAAGACCTAGAAAAGACCAAAGAGGAGCTGAAGTCCGCCATGAGCACGCCTCACGTCCTGGAGCCCATGCAGTCGGAGAACGAGCATGACGACGAGCAGGACGAGAACGCCGCGGAGGCCAGCGCGGAGCTGAGGGCGCACGCGTCTGCCAAGGACCGCAGTGAGGAGCAGCGCACCACGGAGGCCGAGAAGAACGAGCGGGTGCAGAAGCACCTGAAGGTAATGCGGGGCTGGCCGTGCCATGAGCATGTGGGTCGCATACCCTCCCGGGCCTCCTTGGTTCCCAGCAGCAGGTGTTCTCTGGCTTTAGGTTGGCTCCGCAATGCACCACTGATGGGCATGCTGGAGACCCGTGATGCTCAAGCAGACAGAAAAGGCAGTGCATTTGGCACTTGCTCTGTTGCGCTCAGAAAAAGCACTTCAGCAAAGCGAGGGAGGAGAGCTTGGTTGTGGGGCTCAAACACGCCGCCGACTGTGACGCAGAACACGGCGATGGGAAGCAAGGGCAGAGCCCGTGTCTTGACAAGGCTGGTTGATGCATTTGTGCCGCTGCTAGCAAGCTGAAGGCTCTTGTCCCTTGGGGACCCAGCAGGCGGTGGTGACCCTCATGGGAATAACGCATAGCGTGGGATTAACGTCCCAGGAATGGGGCGCAAAGTGATGTGCTGGGAGAAGCAGCTCAGTGCAAAAGATCCTTGTGGGACTGAAAGACGAGCCAGGGGGCTGCCCGCGATGTGGCTGAGGGGTGGCGGGCCGGGCAGGCCATCCTCCAGCCCCTCTCCATGGAGAAGCCCACCGGGGCTGCCCACGCACAGGAGACGCCATGAATCGGCTGGAGGCGTTCCAGACCGGTGACTCGTGCGGGAGCACCATGTGTGCCTGGGTGGTCCCTGTGTGCGTACCCTTGGTGGTGAGGGGGCGTGCCACGTGCGAAACGCTCTGGGATGGCGGCCGAGCCACCGAGCTTGCCTGCCTCTCGCAAAAGCCCGCAGCGAGTGCAAAGACCGGTGCTCTTGGCAGTGGCTGATCGGCAGGGAGGGCCACGCAGAGGGTTTGCATGCTTGGGGGGCGGGAGAGGAAGGCCCAGGGGCTTGTTCCTGCCCCCAGGGTGGGCCAGTTGCGTGCCTGTGGGTCCTGGGTGGCTTGTCACCCCCAGGAGTGAGTCGCCTGGGCTGGGTTCACACGCCACAGCACAAGTAATTACACAAATACACCGAGCAGGCACAGACTCTGCAAAGCAGCCCAGAGAGGGGGGCATCAGGGAAGGATAAGACCCCCGAGCAACCCCTGGCATGGCACGGATTGCTTGGGGCTGGTTCTCACATGCACATCAGTGCAATTCTCTGCGGCCAGATGGGTGGCAGCTGAATACGTGCTGCTGAGAGGCAATGTGCTTGAAGCGTGAGGTGTACGTCATGCGTCAATGCACGGATGCACACTCAAGGGTGACGTTGGTGCCTCTGCACGGTGGTGGAACACACATGCACGCATGATGTTGGCGACTCAAACCCCGGGACCTGTGCCATGGGGATTCTTCTTGCTATAATGACCACCAACCTCTGCTCCCCCACCCCTGCCCACCGTGTACCTGCAGGCTCTTACATCTGAACTGGCCAATGCTCGAGACGAGACAAAGAAGACCGCGAACGATATGATCCATGCTGAGAACATGAGGCAAGGCCGCGACAAGTACAAGACCCTCCGCCAGATCCGGCAGGGCAACACCAAGCAGCGCATCGACGAATTCGAGTCCATGTAACCCCTCCTGTCTCTGTGGCCCCTGCGCTCTCCCTCCTTCCCACCGCCTCTCCCCTTTCTCTGTGTGTTAACTGCGTGATGCTGGAGCCACTGCGGGATGCTGCCAGGCCGTGCTGGGCCAGACGGGAAGCAGGTGGGGTGGGGAACTCAGCTGTGCCTTACCGCAAATTTTCTGGGGGTGACGACTCCCACCGTTGCCCAGCCTGGGCTAGCGAGCGATGCCCATTCCATGCCCCTCTGTGGGGCTCACGGTCCGTCAGGGGTGTCGTTGCCCCAGCAGCGACCGCTTCTCTCCCCACCCAGGCAGTGTCGGGGGCTCTGCTCCCCTGTCCCTGGGAGAAAAGCAATGAGGAGAGCAGGCTGGACTAGAATGCAGCCCTTTGCGCCTCACCTCAGAGACCAAAGCGTTCCGTAATTCTCTGAATCTCAGCAAACCGAGCACACGCCCCTGATCTTTTTAGCATTTTGCATGTGCCACGACCTTTTAAAAGGTTGCAGAGGTCTGGAATGGATCGTTAATCATGATATCTAGAGTAGACAAGGTTATTCCTCTTCGAACAGAAGAGCTCTTGCCATATCCAGTAGGATGAACATTTGGCCACCCATCTTGCTTTGCCTGAGTGTTTAAAAGAGGCTTTGAGCCAGCCATGAGTATTTCTCCGAGGGGAGATGTACCTTCAGGGTCTCCAGCACACGCATCACGCCTTCCGGTGCCTTAGGACACGTTCATTCCCTTTTCTAACAGTGTCAGGTTTTTATACAGCGCTCTCTGGTTTACTTAACTCACTTTGTAACATCATGGGTTTTTCCTGTTCATATTTTCTCCACATCACCAGCCATTTGTACTGTTGTGATTTCGGCCTTTTATTTTTATCATTTTAGAAAAGGGTTTCTTTTTATTTCATTTTTGGAAGATGGCAGCCTGTCCGTATTTTCTAGATCTGTTGCCTTGGAGTGCCTTTTGCTCTTTGAGTTTGTAAAATAATTTGTGGCTCTCGCTGGAGGAGCTGCCTGTCTATCACCACCTTTGCCAGCCTGCTGTTCTCCGGATGTGTTTGGAGTAGAACTCCCACGTTGGCAAGGCTGGTCTACCAATTCCACGCTGGGACAGAGCTTCTCGGTGCCGCTTTGCCATCAACGCGCCAAGGGGGCCTGCCCACCTGTGACCTTCTGCATTCATGAAGGACATATGGAGGCTTCACCGGGGAGCTTCCTCGGAGGCAGATGACTTCTGCCCATGCCCCCAAGCCTCTCCCCACAATGAATTTTCCGGACGGGCTCAGCGGATCAACCGCTCTGTTCCGCAGTCCTCTAGGCACCCGTTACCTGGCATCATCCAGGTTAACTTCCATGCTTTAGGATATGCACCATCTCTCCCAGTCTGCTGTGGGTTTCCTGAATTTCCCTTGTGCACACAAACACACCCACACGCTTTCAGAGTACATCAATCCGAAAAGAGTTACTGCAAGCGCGAGTGCAATGAGGAAAAGAAGTAACTGGTGCAGCCAACACCTGTGGAGAGGGGCTAGGAAGAAGCTTGTGCAGGTCACTTCCACCGAGGGCCCTGGACAGGGTTTCGGGTTCCAGATCTTTGCTCCAAGCCACCCTGCCTGCTTGGCGTGGCTTGCCCAGGATGCCGCTCTCTCAGCGCTTCCAGAGAGTACCAAGGAAAGGACAGTGTGCATGTCCAGACACTCCTTTTCCCACCCCTTTGGACATAATGTGCCTTAGGAAAAGGATGGGGCTGTGGGCCATGACCCACCAGCCCCTCCACCCCCTGAAAATGTGCAGCCCCGTTGCTTTGGCCATTTTTTAAAACAACGGTGTTAGAACTGTTTTATATGGAAGAGATAAATTTGCAATGCGCTCGCTCTTTCTCTCGTTACTGGGTCACCATTAAAGCTGCTCCCAGTGCTTCAGCTTGCTCCTGGTGGTTCGCCTTCAGGCTCTGCACATCACTAGCACCCTTGGGTTTCAAGCCAGCCTTCACACGGTGCCTACCGATCGGCGCTGGGCTAACCGAGCAGCTCAACCGCCTTGGTGTTGTCCCCAGGATATGCAGTCCCAGCGCCCTTTCCTGCCCCCGGCCCCGCTCTCCTGTCCCCCACAACAGAATCAACCAACTTGTGCCAGTGATTCTCACTCCCCATGTAGCTGGTTCGGCCCTTCTCTGATCTCACCAGTATTATTCCAGTGGTATCTAACAATAATGGTTTCCTTCTCTTTTCTAGCTATGCACAATAGAAAATATTAATCATGGACGTGTTGAGGGGGAGGGGGAATGACCCCCTTCTCCGTGGAAAATGTATACTGTATTGTAAAGAGATGATATTTTGCAGGAAATTAATGTAAGAAGCATTCAGTATTACAGTGAGATTCTAGACACGTTTTTAATTATTTGTTAGAATACATGGAGGGATTTCCTCCTCTCCATTCCCACCCCCCCCCCCCAATTTGTTTACTGCTATTTTCTTGGATATATACTCTCCTTCTAGAGGAGGGGGGGTTATTCTAGTATACATTTTTGTCTGGCTTTATATTTGTGTTTTGGAATTTTTGCTGTAAATTATGTCTACTTTTTTTGACCAGCCTTTTTACATACTATGGTTCAAACACCAGTCCTGGCGTGGCTGCAAAGCGACCCGCGTGACTCTCTGGTGATCCACAGGATCCTACCCTGTACTCACAAGGGGCTTTGTTAAGTCCGCACCTTGTTCTCTCCATTCAGTGCCAATAAAGTTTAGACCAACTGAATATTTGATGCATTTTGACATTGCTGTGATTCTTCTTTCTTCCTTCCAAACTAGCTTCCCGCAAACATTCACGAGTCTTAGGAAGGTGCCTCTAGAGACAAAGCAGAAGCTCTTTCTGCACCATCCTCACCCAAAGCCAAAGCCCAAAACTGGGATATAAACGAACAAGCAAATCTACTTGCTTAGTCAGGTTGCTATTTCAGCCTAGAAAACTGGGCCAGACTAGAATGGCAGTCTGAGAAACAGTCAAATAGCCAGTGCTCAAGGGCCGGGTCTTTGGGCAGGAGATGCAGTGGGCACGCACAAGCTTGAAGGCCTGTCCTGCTCACCTGCTGGGCTTGTGCTGGGCCTGGTGCCAGCACTCACAGGCATTTATACCTTCTGCCTCAGCAAGGTCTGGAAGGAGGAACCTGTCTGGGCATTCTCCCATATGCTGTTTCTTGGTGATCCGTCCCACCAGGTGAGCTGGGAGTCTCACAGTGTGCCTGCCTGTAGGTTCCATTCTGTTGATGGCTGACCATGGATATGGTCCTAACTGAGACTATCCAGGTGGAAAAGCCCTCGTGGAGAGGACTCGCTTTCTTAAGCAGTACAGGGGCTGTGAAAGCGTGTACTGAAGACAGGAGGCAGCTTGTGGCATGTTGGGTTAAGAAGGCCACCCGCCCTCACTTTTGCGTTCCACAGCTTGGGCACAGCACGCTCTCTTCATGTTCCAGGAAGTGCATTTTAAAATAGTTGGGTTAAGAAGAGCTAACAGACCTGGCCAGCACTGCTTCCCCTGTGCTCTGTTGAGCACTAGAGGGCGCTCTAGATCCATGGGTCTGGAGGAGCTCTGCGCAAGACTCCCCAGTGCTGCAGCTGCACCTTCGCAGGAATGAGTCACGGGCCGGCGGCTCAGGGCGGCAGCACGTGCTTTTGCCGAAGGAAACCACACTCGTCAAATACCAAGCAACCTCATCAGACAGTTTTGTCAGATGCAGCCCGTCAAGTTTTCATTAAGCAGTGCCTCTCTTCTGTGCTTGTGATTTGCAGGCTTGTGTTGTGGGTGCCGTGCAAGTCTGCTTTTGCACACCCAGGCCTTCTGCAAGCAATTCAGTACCTTACCAGTTGCAGGGTTCCAGCCAAGTATGAATCTGGTTCCTTGTCTCCTTGGATCTTTAGTGGAAAGCCCTGTCTCTCCTTGGTCTTCCTCCCTAAATCTTGGATGAGGCCACGGCATGGAGGAGAAAAGCCCTTCTAGGAAAACTCATTTCTTTGGAGGTGCAGTATTAATGCTGAGCACAATGGATGCGTGTGACAGATTTTATTTAGTGCTAGTGGCAGATTTTATTTTCCTGGGCTCCAAGATCACTGCAGATGGGGACTGCAGCCAAGAAATTAAAAGACGCTTGCTCCTGGGGAGGAAAGCTATGGCAAATCTAGCCAGCATACTAAAAAGCAGAGACATCACCCTGCCAACAAAAGTGCTTCTAGTCAAGGCGATGGTTTTCCCAGTTGCAATGTATGGCTGTGAAAGCTGGACCATAAGGAAGGCTGAGCGCAGAAGGACTGAGGCCTTTGAATTGTGGTGCTGGAGGAGACTCCTGCGAGTCCCCTGGACCGCAAGGTAATCAAACCAGTCAGTCCCAGAGGAGATCAACCCTGACTGCTCTTTAGAAGGCCAGCTACTGAAGATGAAACTCAAATACTTTGGTCACCTAATGAGAAGGAAGGACTCCCTGGAGAAGCGCCTGATGCTGGGAACAACAGATGGCAAAAGAAGGAGGGGACGGCAGAGGATGAGGTGGCTGGATGGGGTCACTGAGGCAGTTGGTGTGAGCTTAGGTGGACTGCAGGGGATGGTGGAGGACAGGAAGGCCTGGAGGAGTGTTGTCCATGGGGTTGCGATGGGTCGGACATGACTTTGCAACTAACAACAACAATGGATGCATTAATAAGGAGCTGTCCTCACTCTTGGGCCTCACAATTGTACCTTGAAACCCCCAAAGGAGCTTTCAGGTCCCAGATTGGGCCTCAGTTTGTCCATTGGCTGATGTCCTTGTTTCCCCCAGCTAAAGCAAGGTCTGAGCCCAAGACCAGGGACTTGTTGACCACAGGATCAATAACTGATCGACCATGGGAAGCACTGAGGCACATCTGAAGTTTCTGGCACTTCACAGGTATATTAGCTGGGAGGAGAACTTGGTACGGGCACTTCAGGAAGGGAGCACCCAAATTCCAACCGTGGGAATCACCCCACCAAGTCTTAGGTACACCCCATCAAGTCCACGCCGCTTGATTCCCATATTCTGAGGATTCATATATGGGCACTGAAGACCCGGTGCTTTGCAGCCCAGCTTTGGTCTGTCAATGTTGCGGATGCTCCCGAGATTTACGCACTTTGGCTCCTGAGAGATTCATAAATGTCTCATCCATCTGCAGATTTGGTGTGTGGGTGCTGGCATACATTTTGTCTGGGCAGTGCAAAGAGGACGGGTCCTGTGGAGATTTTGTACAGTGGGGAAAACAGAATGAGGAAAGCTGGCTTCGGTCTCCTGGCGTCAACACTAAGCTTGCGTGGAAGACTTCGACCAGCCCCGCTTGTCCAGCCTAAAGTACCGTCTGGGTAGTTGTGCACGTTTAACTCTGGGGACATTCCATGCAGAGAGAACTGCAGTAAATCAAAATTAAGGACTCCCAGTCCTCTCGAAATCAGGGTCACACAGACGGGCTATTAGTCAGCTTTCTCCACATTCCAGGAACTGAGAGAAGAGGCCACTGCCGACCCTGCGGGTGTCCTTGGCAGGCAGTGTTGCTGGGCCTTTATCTTTCTTATTGCTGAGTTCAAGGCTCGTGCGTGAGATAAGCGGCTTCGAAGTTTGGATACACGTGTGGGGCTCCTGCTTCTCGGCCCCACAGAGGAGATGGGAGGAAGGCACTTGCGCAGGAGAGGGGGCCCCAGCCCAGCCGCAGGTTAACCCCTTGTGGCCTGGAGAAGGCTGCAGGTCATGTTTGCGCTTTGCATACCAGAAGCACCCTCTCCCCACCTATTCTTGCAGTGCAGGCTATGAAAATGGAAAGCAGCATAAAAGAATTAGGGGCTGGTTTTCTTTGGTTTTTTTGACCTATGGTTTGTCCATCACTTCCCCTTTCCCCTTTTCAAGCTTGATTTTTAAATCATCACCATCATCATCTTCTTCCTCTAAAAGGAGGAAAAAGAATTTAAGCACCATAGGAACTAACAAATCTGGATTTCTTGGCATCCTTACATTTTCTAGATGAAAGCACACCTTCCCTGCCCCTACATTATATTACCAGTTGAATTTCCAGTATTCCCTACTCATTTAATTTTATTAAATGTGTGAGTCTTAAAGGTGGATCCTTTACCGAAGTGTAATGTTTGAGGCGCCAAATCCATGCCTCGTCCCTTGATTTATCCTGGCAGCTCCCAGAAGGCAGCTTGTCCAGTGAAACCAAAGGGAGGGGTCTTGGCTGTGAAGGGGACATTTTTCTGGATGTCCGCAGCCCTACTGGCAAGATGAAGCCTTAGCTGGATGTGGCCCCAGCTCAGGTGCCCAGTCCTTGCAATCACACTCCTCCTGCCTCCTACTCTGGCTGCAAAGAATCCAAGACAGCAAGGAGCCGAATGGTCTGAGGAGCTCGCTGTGTGTTGCTCCCACACGAACTGCCTTGCAGCCCACCTTGCAGCGTATCGCCAGGGCGGGAGTGGCATCGATGTGCCAGCCGTCGTTCCGTGAAGGCCTCTGGCACGCCCCTGGTGCACGCACAGGCAGGAAAGCATGACTGGTGCCTGCAGACCCGGCGAGGCCCAGGGACCCCCGAGGCATAACTCTCCCCTGGAGTGTCCCTGTCTCTGGCCATGGACATGCTTCGTCTTGGTCACAGGCAGTCCACAGCGTGACCTTGACAGACCCCCCTGCAAACCCGAAATGCCTCCAAGCTTGACTCTCTGTGCTGCTTGGTGACTGCATTATTTCACTCACAGTGGGGCGGGGGGGGGTATTTATTTTACAAACATTTTAGGACGCAATCCCCACTTGCTTTCTGAGCCAAAATATATCTGAGTGCCTTGCTGGTCTTATTTTTAAACATAGAAATGTGGCAGTAAAAACGGTGACTAGAACCAAATTCCTTGCACTCTGTTTCTCCTGATTGCTTTGCTGTTATGGATGACCAGGGCCAATTTCCCTTCGTCGTTCTGGACTTGGGCTTCTTGCTTCCGGCATCCTGCCGCTTTGAGTCACACGTTTTGTAAAATGAGGCTTGGGCACTCCTGGGCTCCAGCGTGAGACTCCTTCCTAACTCTTCTCCCTCGCACCTCTTTCCGAGCCTGTAGTTGGGACAAAGGAGCCCGTGTGTGTGTGTGTGTGTGTGTGTGTGTGTGTGTGTGTGATGGGACCTTCGCCCGCCCACTTGCTCTCCAGCTCTTTCCCTCCCCCAGCAGTACTGACGCCTCACAAGCCAGCAGCCTTCAGCTCTGCAGTCTTCGAAGGACCTGGGAGAGCGGCTGATCCATCCAGCATGATCGCGTGGAGCACCTCCAGGCTGGCCTGCCTCGCACTGTCCGTGCACAGAGCGCGGCTTGCCGGGTCCTTCGGGATAGTCCGCCCCGGCCGGGCCCCGGCCAAACTGCCCTCAAGGAGGTGCTTCAGCCAGACCCACAAGCTCCAGGATGTTCCTGGGGATGCAAGGTAAGCATCTCATTGTTGACGTTACTTTTTGTAGCTTCCATTAAGAGGACCGCAAGGTTGAGCTGCTTTTCAGCCAGCCGGACTTCGGATGAACTGCTGGAACACCTAGCGGGGTCTGTCTGGTGCCTTCTTGGTGCAAACACAATCAAACAGAACTGCTCTGCCCTTGGTCTACACAGGATCTTATCGGGGGAGGAACAGAGAGCAAATGCCGCTGCTTGGGGCATAAGAACAACTCCAAAATCCATATTAAGGTGATGCCCTTTCTAGACCACCCCAGGAGCCCCACATAGCAGTGCTCAGGCCCCCAAGTTCCCCAGAGCGCCTCGCCAGAGTGGAGCTGCATAAAAGCAGGAGAGGAGAGGATGTGGAGCACAGGCAGCCTGTGTGAACCAGAAGCCAAGACGAATAGCTTGCTGCTGCTTCAGGGCCAGGTCGCTCGTGCTCCGAGCAGGGCAGTGGGGGCCCTTCCCCCCGAGGGCAGAGGAATATGGCCTCCAGGGTTTGCGAGGCTATGAGATAAATTCCGAAAATGGACCTTGCACGGCACGGCCATGGAGGCACTGGCCAACCTGGGCAGCCGCCTCTGGAGCCATCTCTCTGTTGTGGCCTCACCTCAGTGCCCACACTGAGGGACAGCAGTGGGTGCGGATGCCCCCGATCTCAGCTTCCCCAGTCACACCTTCAGGCACGGGCAGAGCAGGGGAAGGGCCAGGATCCCGAGGTCCCAGGGCCAGCCTTCAGTCCAGCCAAATTCTCCACGAGCAAAGAGATGGGTGCAGTCTTACTAGGTCCAGCCCCTCTCCTCCAGGCCAGCCTAAGCCAGATCCGTGAGCAGGTTGTCCTGGGCAGAGGCCGCGCAGCAGGTCTCCCCCACATCAGCAAGCTGTGCCCAATGCCAGCTCAGAAGAGAGGCTGCCTCTGAGGTCTCCTTGGCAGGGTCGCTTCTGTTGGCGGCAGACAAGTCCTCTCTTCGTCTCGAGAAGCCAAGGAGCATCTGGACGAGGGAGGTGTGCGAGTTCCTCGGCATGGCTTCCCAGACTCTGGCTTGCTTCCTCCCCACCCTGAGTCCGCCGCGTGCCAAGAGTGTGCGAGGGCAACCGGCAGGAAGTGTGCAAAACCTCACTTCTGCTGCCGCACGCGTGACCTGCAAGCTTCGCGTACACCGTGCAAAGAAGGATGAAGACAGGTGCCCATTTCTATCTGCTTGGGCTGAGGCACATCCACTGCTCATGGTCCAAAATCAGCAGGCCGCTCTGGCTTCTGCAACACTAGTCCTTCAAGAGGAGCTTAGCAGCTATTTTTGGACTTCAACTCCCAGGAGCCCTTGCCACAATAACAAATGGTCCGGAACCCTAGGAGCTGAAGTCCAAGACACCTGGAGGCCTTGTTTTCTCCATGCTTGAGCTATAAGAGGAAACAAGCTTGCGCGTGAAATGATGGAAGATGCCTGGCAACGAGGGGCTCGAGGCAGAGCTGCCCAGAGACGCAGAGTGGCCTGAAGTGCTGCATTCCGCCTCCTAATTGCTGCGCTTTCGTGCTAAGCTCGGCTGCACCAGCTTTTGCGCCAGTAGCAGGAACCCATCAGTGAAGAGCACAGCCTGTTCCCATTCATGAAGGCCACCCGTTGCTAGGAGTTCACACCGCCTGCACCCTAGACAGGATGACAGTGAAGGGCAGCTTGACCAATAAGGGCTCATTCAGGTCCAGAAATAGACTGATCATACAGTCTTTGGTAGAATATGGGAATAATGCAAAAAGTCCAGGCCTTTAATCTCCATTGATGTCCATTTCAGCATGTTCCCATGTAACATTTTCAAGAGCACATTAATGGAGTGGAGGACAATAATGGCCTGGGTCGTTTCTCGAAGGGCAAGGGCTGCAGCGGCATTTGGGTGCCAAAGGCAGCCTTGCTCCACCAGCCTGGGCCAAGAGAACGAGCAAGCAGCTAATAAGGTTTGCCAGCTTCGCTTCTAACCCCAACCGTAACCCGTGGCACATTCTGCTCAAGATGATGACCGCGAATCACCAAGCAGATAGATCAGAGGCACCTTGGGAGAAGAGGGAGCATTGCATTTTTGGCCTAGGAAAGGTGTACATGTGCCTCCAGGTGCCAACTGAAGAGATGACACGTACATAGCATAGATCAGGCAAAATACAGTATTGCTAGTAAGGAGCGTACCTCTGCCATTTGGGGGTGGCAATTCCTTTCAGGCAATTTGCTTGCTTGAAAAATGCAACTGTTCTTAAGCTGGGACTACCCTGCCTTGCTCTGAGAACATGGTTCTCCCTCCCCAGTTCTTCAGACAAGGTGCTGCTACATTTTATTAACCGGGATGGAGAGAAACTCTCAGCCACAGCGACAGAAGGAGAAAGCTTGCTGGAGGTGGTGATGAATCAAAACCTCAACATCGATGGCTTCGGTGAGTGATGTTAGCCACTTGTCTGCTTCCTGGGATTTCTGTACTCCTTAGTGTCAAAGCAGGATGGTTTGTGTGATGCTGAAATGCCCCAGAGTTTTAAAATGAGACTCTAGTTTATAGAAGGAGAATATAGAAGGAGTTGTGCTGGGCCAGACCAAGCCCTCCTGGTTGGCACAGTGGCTGGGCACGGCACGCTCACAACAGGACATGCAGGCAACTGCGATGTCCCACACGTGTTCCCAGAAAAGGGCCCACAAGGACATGCCAACTCTCATCCCAAAGGGAGCGAATGGGACCAGTGGCCACTGACTCCCTTCCCCATGGATTTCCCCAGTCTCTTTTTAGCCTCCACCACACTGGTGCTCAGCACTGCATCTTGCAGCGACAAAGATGCCACAGTGTAACACAGTTTAACCGTGTGTCTTTGGTCACTGCAGTTTTTATGCTTAGTTCAGGTGAGGGTTCTTTATGAGACATCTGCACTTCAGCGTTTCCACCAAGTTGCCAGAAAAGTTGAGCCAGAAAGGGGAGAAAAGATCCAGCAGGTGGCAGCAAAAGTACCTGCAATTTATTTCTTGAGTGGCCACAGCAAAGCCAACCCATAAAAAGCACTGCTTGTTCTCTAAAACATCCACCTTCCTTCATACTTCATCATGGAAGGAGGCATCAGCTGATCTGCACATTCATCCATCAGCAACAACAAAAATCTGGAAACAGTAGCCATTTTTAGCAATAAGACTTCAAGGCTTGTAATTCAGCAATGCTTTTCCTCTTTATCCATCCCATTCTGTGAAGTCCCATGACTAACGTTTTCTCCTAAGCAACCAGCAACTGGACTCTTTCTATGGGTGTCTGCAGAAACACAGCAAACCCCCCATTTGATCAAAAGCTCCTTATAACTTCCATGATGCAACATCTACTGCTGGTTGTGGGTCTTTTGCGATGCTAATGCATCAGCCGTTTCCACCATTGCATGGCTGCAGCTTAGGCTTTTCCTAAAGTTCAGAACAGCTTATTTTGAATGGGGGAGCCATCTTAAGTTTGCACAAAGGTGGGGCAAACTGTTCCAGTAAGCATGGAAAATATTCTGCGCCGATGCTGACGCCTTCTCTCTTACAAAGGTGTGTGCGAGGGGATGCTGGCTTGTTCCACTTGCCACCTCATCTTTGAGGAGGATGCTTTCCGAAAACTGGATCCCATCAGCGATGAGGAGCTGGATATGCTGGACCTGGCCTTTGGACTCACTGACACGTAAGCTGCCGTCACCAAGACACGGACCCGTCTATTCTGGGCCGTCGAATCCCTCTGCAAGGCAGCGAGCACAGAATTCTGCACCTTCAGAATCTCAGCTATGTCTGCCTTTAAAAAATGCACACTTTGCCCCATTGGCTGCTGGGTCAGTTTTAAGTGGAGGGGATGAGCTGGGTGGGCGGTAGGAGGCTCACCGCCTTGCCAATAACTGGGAGAAAGGGCTTGAATGCAAGCCCGTGACTAGTTGCTGGAAGGTGCCCTTTTCTCCCCCTCCGCCTTGCTTCACCGGCTGGGGAGACAGCTGTGTACTCACAAGCATCCATCCCTTGGGATGTGCTTCTGCTTTTCAGGTCCCGCCTCAGCTGCCAGGTGCGTGTCAAGAAATGGATGGACGGCCTGACAGTGCAGGTGCCCAGTGAAGTGTCGGACATCAGGAAAGACCTGGGCGTGGAGAAGCAGCAGAAGCAGTAGATGACTGCGATTCCAGTGGAATGTATTCATGTGTCTTTAAAAATGGGTTGTGTTGTCATGACTTGCTGATGTGTATCCTGAATTTAAAAAACAGCCCTGCATCCTGAAGAAGTCTGAAAGTTGGGATGATCTGTTAGGGATCGGCGGAGCCTCTCACCCTCGGTTGTCCTGGGAACAGGAATCCTTTCCGGTCCTGTGATATAACTGATGAGGAAATGGCTCAATGTGCCAATGGCACCACTAAGGATGCTGACGGGGGCATTCTAATAGCCTGAACCAAAACAAGGAGCCAGCAGTCACAATGGCCAAGCCAGCATCCCCTGCACAACCAGCCACGGCTTCCTTAACACGCGGTGTTGTAACACACGTTTCTGCCTTTCACGGCGAGTGCATGCAGGCTAGGGGATGGGGGATGCTTTCGGGTCTTCCGCTTTTGACGGTGGGCCCACACGCCCCTCGATGCTGCCTGAGAGCTTCTCCAAACTCAATCCTGCCCCTTGAGCAAAAGAGGTCGCCCACCTTGCTGCAGCCACACAGCTCCACTGCCACTTGCTGACCCAGACAGCTAATCCACACAAGAAATAGGGAGTGAGCGATACTCTTTCCAGGCCAAGAATTCTGTGGCCTCTCGGGGTTCTCTGAGTGAACAGAAGGTATCAGCCAGAGTTGTCATGCTTTTGTTAAGCACAGGGCAAAAATGAGTAGGCACAGTGGCAAATAAAATTGTGTTCTTTTATTGGATTATTTACACCCATTGCTTAGGCACTTCAAAGAGAAGGAGAGCATCTTTTGAAGGAGCTAATGTGCAAAAGACAGGACCGTGGGGAACTGACAGTTTTCCTCATACAACAGCCACCAACCTGAGTGAGGCCAGAAATAAACAGAAAACAGAATTGGCAGGAACAATCTTTTTCTTCCAGTTTAAAATCCAGCTGGGACAATCCAGAGCATCCTTCCCCAAGTGGGTAGCCTTGGATGTCTCAGGTGGCAACCTCACTCATTCCCAGCCAGTCTGACCAACAGCCCTGAGTCTGGGAGCACAGCTCTAGACTGACCGATACTGAAAAGCCTTCAAGAACAAGGAGAGACCCTTCTTTCGCATTTAGGTGCCAGCTTGCAACAAAAGAAATGCTCACGAAGGTCATTTGGGGTGAGATAAGGCTGCTTACAGCAACAGTTCAAGCAAACAAACACAATTTATGGCCCACCTTCCTTTGAGGTGTGGCTAAACTCTAAAAACCTTGCACAGCATTCAAATAACACCTTCCTTAAAAATCTTCCCATCTTTGCACATTTTCTCAGTTAATACCACTCTATTTCCCCTCTTTCTTTCCACTAAGCCGAGATGGTTTCCTTTTTCGGACCATGTGGCCCGCTCAGCACCCCGAAGGATGCAATTCTATGCAGGCTCAACCGTTTTACTGGCTTCTGAGTAGACCTGCTGTTTCTCTGGAAATGAGCGCGTTGCACATCGTGTCACAATCTATGCAGAAACACCCTGGGGTGTGACAGACATGCCAGTTACAGTTTTATTTTGGATGGCTTCAGTCAGTATCGCTTTTGCACATTTTCCCTGGATGGCAGAAGACAGCTTTGTTGTAGCAGATCTTTTTCAGGAGGGCTGGGAGGCACCTTGAGATAATTTTAGCACTGACAAAGAGTTAAGTTTGTAAGCCCCCCTTTCCTGCCTCCATTAAGACATTTGCAGAAGAAATTATCAAGGTGCCTGTCCTGAATCCGTAACTGTGTAAACTCAGTTGGATGTGGAAGGAAAAGGAGAATGGTTGAAAGAAAAGACATGCTCACATAGTGTCCCTATTGCAAAAAGAGGGAGCATTGTGAGAAAACTAGTACCTGTTTAACAAATAATTTCTTTTCATATGAAGCAAGGCAGAATCAAGACAGGCCAAAATTTAGGTTGTGCAACTCAAGGCCTGTGTTTCGCGTACTGAAAGCCCAAGACCGTGGGCAGTCCGGAACACCCCAGAGGAGCTTCTGCAGATTTCCCTGATATAAGAGGGCAGCCAGTTTGTAACACTGGGATTACCAGCTCAGCCCCACACCTCACCTGCACACTCACTCACGTAACCACTTCCAAACTTCCCTCAACACAACACAACGCAACACCAAACCATTCCAGGTCCCCCAAAAAGTGTTGAAGAATTAACCTGAACCTTGGAACGGAAAGGATAGACCTGAAACGTCCAACCTTTAACACTCCCCTCATTAGGGTCGCAACTGGAATAAATAGGTCTTAATGGAGAAAACACAGAGGAAGCACACTGGCAGCCCTGTTATGGGTAAGAATGGGGCTGTGAAAGGTGCCTGTGGGATGTGAGGCGCAACTCATAACAAAAGGCAGTGAATATTCAGCTCATTGAGACGCCTGTGGAAATCCAGGTATAGCATGAGGAACACGGGAAACCTCGTGGGAGGTTGGCTTCATTAAAAACCGATGGAGCAGCCACAAATGGGTTCAGGAAGATTCATTTTTATGTTCCATATTAGCCCGCCTTTCTGACCATCAAGGGCCCATGGCTGGCTGGACGAATTCAATAAAATGAGAGCAGCGTGTTTCTGTCTACCCCAAGCAAGAGTGAGAGTAGGAACACAGGCGGGGGATAAAATCTGACGCTGAGCCACAGTGAATCTGTTGGTTCTCACGTCACACTACGCTGAAAAGCAAACCACTGGCAACATTTTGTGGGTTGACTCTGACATTTGAAGGGATCCCAGAAAAGGCTTTCCTTCTTGGGCCTTTCCTGCCTGCTCACCTCTGTGTGAGATGGAATTGAAAGCTTGCTGAGAAGTCCCACCTCAGGCTAGTACAAACCTTTCTTCCTATTCTTTGGCTGGGCAAAAAAACACCTGGTTGAGAAGGAAAGAGCCGGATGACCGACGAGGCACTCATCCTGCCACTCTGGCCTAGGCTGCCTGCCCGATTCTTCACCCCTCACATTCTACACAACAGTTCCGCAAACAGCGCTCCCTCCAAGACGCGAAGCCGTGGGGTGGTGCTCCTACACAAAGGTCTCTTCAGCAAACGGCAAGCTGTTGTGCTCCTCGGCTGGAGGGCCGGGACAGGGCTGGGCTCTGAGCCACTCGGCCCTTTGCCGCAGCAGTTCATTCTCCACCACTTCTGCCTCTGGCAGGCAGTGGTCCTTGGAGCTGTCCTGACTAAAGTACTCCCGGACCGTGTTGCGAATGGAGGCTGGGAGGAAGAAGCGGAACGTGTGGCTGAAGACACTGCTCTCGTCCTTGCCGGCAGAGCTCCCCGGCTGAGCGGCGGCTTCCAGCGGTTCCACAAGATGCACCCTTTCAGGAGCCTGCGCCTCGGCCGGTTGGACCACTGGTCCGTGGTGGTGCCTCCTTGAGATGGACTGGAGTACCAAAGGAGTGTTTTGCCCATAAAACACTGTCTGGGGGATGTGGACCCTCACTGTTTGTAGGCTTTTGGGAGCGCCTGGGCCACCGCCGCCAACGGAGCTGGTGCTCCTATTGCTGGCAGCTTCCTCCTCGCCGTGTCCCACTGGAGACTCCCTTGGACTTCTCTCTTTGGGGGCCATGTACACTGTTATCTTGGTGCGCTTCAAGCTTTCTTGGCCACGAGGGGCAGCTTCGGGGCATTTTATCTCTATATGCTTCACGGATTTCTCCCACTGCACTCGCTGGCTTGCAGGGCACTCGATATTAGAGGCAGAAGTGCAGAGTTCTAGGTTTACAGAAGAGGGGCTTTCAAGGGCATGGGAGAACACCTCCACCTGCCTTGCCTCTTCCTTGTCCCCAGGCCAGATGCCCTCACCGAGTGGGCTTCCAGTGGCCGTGATGGGCATGAAGACCTGGCCCTTCCCTCTGCTGCAGCTGCTCTCCTGGTCAAACTGACTCTGAGTTTCCATTCCAGCATCCAAGCTGTAAGGAGAGGGAGCGGTCAGGGGCTTGTGCCATTCCTTCAAGGACCTCCTTGCCACCTTTGGAGACAAGCTGTGGAGCCTGGTGGACGTGCCGAACATAAAGGGCAGGGATGAGACTTCCGTAGGGCTGAAGGCGGACGACTCGGAGCAGTAAGAGAAAGCGCTGTCCAGGGAACTGAGCGAGGAGGCGGAGGGGGAGGTGGTGGTGGACGACAGGCTGGAGAAGCTGGACCTGTTGGAGAGGCTGGCCTTCTGGGAGCCAAGCTTCTTCGTGAGCAGGCAGCTCGGCGGGGACCTCCAGAAGCTCTGCTTCGCCCTGCTCAGGCGAGGGCTCAGGCCTTCCTCGATCAGCTTCTGGCTCTCCAGCTGCAACTGCTTAAGCCTCCGAATGTAATCTCCGTGGCTGTGCATGATGGTGGCATCACAGCTGGACTGCCGCGCCACGGGCTCGTGCTCCTGGGAGGGCAGCTGGGAGCTCAGGCAGACGCTGGGCTCAGAAGAGCACCGGTCCCTGGCAGGGCTCAGGGAGCAGAGGGAGCCGATGGAGCAGAAGGAGCCCTCCTCCCCCAGGAGCTCGTAGCTGTCCGCACTGGCGTCGTTCCGGGCCTTGCTCTGGTAGCAGGCTGTGATCTCGCTGAACAGGTCCCAGTCCTCGCGCTCCCCTCCGGACGGGCCGAACAGGCCGTTGTCTGCATCGAGGGCATAATGCTGCTTTGCTCTCTCCGGGTAGGAAGCGGCATATTCCAGCTCGTCGGAGGAGTCATTGTGCTGAACTGGGAGGGGAAGAAGGCACAGCAAGGTCATTCAGGGGGAGGGCCACTCCGCTGCCTACCCACCGGCAGGGAGCTCACCCCGGGTCGTCTCCTGGATCAGGGCACAACCCTCAGGCTCAGAGACCAGTCCAGCGTTGCAGGGCTCCCCCAGATGGCTCTGCCCCTTTCCCTGGCCCTGCCCCTTTCTCCAGTCCATGGATCATTCCCGGTTTCCCCCACCTGAAGGCCTCGAAGGCTGGCCTGCCTACCCTCAAGCTCTGCTATTGTAAGAACCTCACGTGAAATGCCCTTTTATCTGGTGGTTTGGACACCTCCTCTTTTGCTGCCGCCAGAATGCACCTCTGGGATCTTTTCCAAAACTGAGCTGAGTCTGGAAAAGATTCTTCCCAGGGAAGGCTACCCATGGATGCGTGGTCAGAGGAAAGGCCCTGGATCAGGACCGTTGAAGCCCCTTTCCAAACTGTCAGCCTCTGTGGCACTGCTCAGAACTTTGCCGTGCAATTCTCTGCTCGAAGCATGCATACAAGAAGGTGGGTTTGGGAGAAGAATAAAAGCGGTGCGCACATTTGAAGGACGAATGCCTGCAAAAGTGCCTATTTTCATGGGAAATGCATGCAAATGAAATGTGTATGTTCACAGTTCTTTTTTAGTGGAAGAAAACGGGATGGAACAGACTTAATATTTGTAAAACCTTTGCTCCGATTGGATCTGATTAATCTCCTCTTCCTCACACTGAGGCAGGTATAAGGAATCTCTGCTTTACTGCTGCTTATTTAGTGCTTATTAGGGATGATTATTCCACTGCTCATTTATTTCTTGCTGGATTTAGATCGATATGGGGTGACTGAATTTCTGAATGTGAACCGCTTTGAGCTTCGTGGAAAGAAAAAAGCTAAGCGCTGAAGGCCACTCCGAATCATCGCCACAGCCTTACCCAGGAAGTCATCCACGCTCTGGGACTTGTCCTTCTCTGGCCGTTGGAAGAGCTCTGTGATGTCCCCGCCAAAGATTTCAGATGAATTTTCTATTAGGAACTGCACCAACATGGCTACCTGCAAAGAAACCAGCTGCCGGGTTAGGACAGAGAAACCGCTTGATGTGCCGCACTCAGGAAAGCTGCTTGAAGAAGGCAAGGCGGGACAAGGCCCCCCCAACCTGCTGCTTTCCCGGGGCTTGTATTACAACTTCCATCACCACAGGCATCAGGGGCACTAGAGGAGGGGTTTGTAGAGCAGGCTGGGAAAGCCTGCTTTGAGACAGACAGCTAGTTTAGGCAGGACTTCCAAGCTGCCCAGGTCCTGGGGATCTGGCTATTTATTTCCATGCAGCTTCCTCTCGGGGGAACAGCAAGGCAAAGGGGTAGAAGGAACTCAAGGCTGGGTGAGGAGAGAAGTGGCAGGATGAGGGAATGACTAGGAGCCAAAGGGCAAGGCTGGGGCAAGGAAGGGTGGTGGGGGGAAGAGACGGAGGCTGGGGGTGGGGACAGAATGAAGCAGCAGGACTAGAGGCTGGAAGTGTGGAGGGAAAGCTGCTCCCCGATGTTTTCCAGAGTTTTTCTCAGAAAAAAAACTTTTGGAAGGGGGCAGAGAGCAGAGAACTTCACAGGTGCTCCGAGAAGTATTCGCAGGCACTGTGTCGCCTCTGGGCCCTGCCCACCCTGCTTCAAGCTCTCTTCACAGGCATGGCTGAGACCTGAGACGAACAACTGGGAGAATTCGCTGCAGCCCAGCCTTCTCTATGCCACTTGCAAATTTGCAGGTTTGCTTACAAGGGTGGAGCCAAAAACGCTCAAATCTCCAGTGGCCCTTGGGGCAACTGTCCAGCCACAGTTGTGTTGTGAGACTGCCAAGTTTGTGTTTCAGCTCCAAAGCAATAGACGGTAGGATGAGCAAACAGCCTGTAGTTAGATCGGTCCTGGCTCAGAACCAGTGAACTGTTGGGGGAGACCAAGGAAATGGAAGGTCTGGTAAGGGGCAGGATCCGCAGAGAGCTTACCTTCTTGGTGGACTTGCTTTCCTCCTCCGGCCCCGTTGGGCTGGGCAGCCAAAGCATGTTGGGAGCAATGCAGAGGGCCAGGTTGAAGGCGTTCATCTGATTCTCTGTGGAGTTCTGCTCAATCTGATGCAGGACTCCGAAAAGGTGTCTGAGTAAGATGAGGTTGGCTTCTGGGAGCTGGTTCACTAAACTACCCAAAGAAGAGAAACAACAGCTATGAAACACACGGGCCATCCTTTTCCAATCTGGCCTCTGCTGTGAGAGCTCGGGAGCTGTGGAACAACACAGCTGGAGGACACCAGGGTGGACGAGGCCGCCATGAACAAAGCGATAAGGGATTTCATTGGGAACCCACAAAAGAAATAACTTCCATGGCGTAACCAGACGTCAGCACGTTTTCGGGCTACCCATGTTCTTTTGGCCTGATATTCACACATAGCAGAGAGCAAAAAAGGAATATTGGCCAGTAGTTTTGAACGTAAGCTTTTGGAACTGGGAATTTGAATTTGGGTTTGATTGTGTTTTGATTAGAGCTGCAGGGTTGGGCTCAAGTTTTTCTTTCCATTCCCGCCCCTTCCTCGAGTGTCTCAGCTAGGCTCGAGGCGACTGAACGATCATTCAGCCTCATGGCCGGCAGGCGTGAACCCACGAACCTTTTGATTGCTTCGATCTTATGCGCACGCTTTTCCTTATCCATGGCTTCCATCCAGAGCTTGTGCATGTCTGAGGACAGAACACTGTCAGGAATATTTCGCAGAAAATCCTGAATTAAATATACACATGCAGAACAATCTGTCAGTTCTGAGCTTGGCTGAGTGAAGAAACACTGGCATGCTCTTGGTCTTCAGGCCAATCCTTTGGACGAGAGAGCATCAAAACGCCTCGAATCCCCTTGCCCACGCTGCTGTGGCCCCAGGAGGAGCAGATCCCAAGAAACAGCTCTGGTCTGTTTCCCCGTTCCTTAAGCCTTTGCACCAGCTCCCCCTCAGCTGCACAGAAATACTACGTTCCTACCTACGTTGATTCTTAGCTATTAAGTGAACTTAAGTTGACTTAACCGTATTACGTTCCCTCCAAGTGCTGTTAGATTCTGGTCATATGGACTCACCGTTACAACCGCGGCAGCCACAAAGACCGATTCCCCATCCACCTGGACGTCATCTCCAGAGTCGAGTTTCTCTTTCAGCTCCTTGCAGATCTTGGCATTGGCCGAACGCCTGAAGATGCCTCTTGTGGAGGGGCCTTCATGGTAGAGGAGCTGGAGGATATCCTAGGGGTGGCCAAGGGAAGGCCCCACAGTCACCAGCTTTCATTGGCTGTTTAGGCTGCCCTGGCAAGCTGCGGGGCGTGCAGCTCTTCACCAATCACAAGGAAGCCCACTCAATGGAAAAGGGGGAAGAAGGGCCAACCTGAGCACGACAGGAGTCACCTGCTTGTCCCCTGAGCCAATGCGGGGGGTGCGTCAGCCACTCACTCGCCCCGCATTGCGGTCCCCATCTAGATCAGGGAAGCCCTGCCCACGGTTTGCAGGAGGAACAGGCTGGCCTTCCCTTCCCCACGCAGTGCTGTGCCCCCCAGGGTAGGTTCCCCCACAATCCAGCTGGCCTCCCAGTGGGCTCCATGCACTGGCGATGCATGTCCCCGTTTCCTTATGGCGCTCGGTGGGCACTTCACTTGCAGGCACTGGCCATGATCTCTGCAGGCAACCACTCAGGTGGCAGAGAAGCAGGTGTGGGGCCAAGAAGAGGGGAAAGGAGGCTGCGGCAAGGAAGAGGCATCCTGTTAGACCCCATGTCAAAGACCTTCAGAGACATGGCAGCTCCTGGAAATCCCCCGCCCCGCCCCCCTGCAAAATCAGGACAACAAGAGGAAGGCCAGATCACATGACGCAGAATCCGTCTCACCATAATTGGCTTGGGAAGGCTTCCGTCAGGACAAACAGCTGCCAGGGACAGGCCGAAGAGCTTCCGTGGTGTGGTTGGCGACTGGGACGCCGGGCTGCCAGTTGGGGTGCTGGTACTTCGGCGGAGAGCCCAGTCAATCAAAGACTTCTTCCGCTTGGTGTGCTTCTGCAAGGCTTCTGAAAGCAGAGGTGTGACTTAGGATGCCCCTTTGCAAAGCAGACATGGCACGGCCCAATGCCCAAAGTTTAAAAAAACTGAAGGGAGGCAAGGTGGAGGGCTCTCTGTTGGACTGGGCAATGCTCTGAGGACCAGGAGGTCCAATCCTGCCCCCACACCTTTCCCAGTGGAGACCCTCCTCTTCCTGAAGCTCCTGCTGAAGTTGCCACTTCTCCCCATGGGGAAAGAAACAGGCCCCTTGGTCATGCCTTGGAAGCCCGGGGTGGAATGAGTTTGATCAACCACGAAGGGAGAAAGGAAGAGCTGGGGGGGGGGGTTCACAAGTGGAGCCCCTCCAGCACTCAGGATGGTTTTACCTCCTTGCAGTCGCACTGGCACATGGGGCCTGGGCTTCAGGATGAACTGACACTGCCGATCTCCAGGGAGCGGATCCACGAGGGACTTTTCATAGTCATCAGTCAGCAGCGTGTTATTGTTGGATACATGGAGCTGGTCCGCAGAGTCCCGGAGGCAGCTCAGAATGACACTGAAGGGGTGCTCATGGCCTGTTGGAAGGGCGGACAGGGGAATCTCACCTCTGGCATCGGCTGGAGGAACTTGCCAAGGCGTGCTTGCTTTCCGATTGCCCAGCTCAGCTGGGACCAGCCAGCGCCGTGCGATGCAATGCAGGGAAAGAACTTACCTGTGAGGACCCAGGCCCAGAGAGGGTCCAATGAGTGACCTGGGCATGTGTGCCTTGCCCGCCACGCCACGCCAAGAAGACGTGGTGCCCCAGTGCGCCAGATCATGCCATGCAGAGAAGCAAGTGCCTGTGCTTCTTCCACCAGCTGAGAGACACATTCCCCACACACCTCTCCCTTCCTGCCCCTTCCTCAGATTCAGACACCACCCCTTCTGTGGATCAACCTTGCCACGTTGCACCAAGCTCCAAGCAGCTTTAAGCCGAGACGCAGGGCCTTCAGCTGTGTGCTTTGCTTATCATGGTACGGAGGTGCCCAAAGGACTGGCAGAGCTGGCACACGATTCCTGGCCAGTTCTGGGTGCTGTGGATACTATCCTGAAGTATTACCCAAAAGATGAGCCGATATGGTACTTGGCACACACTTATCAATCCTGGATCACCACGTGGCATTTCCTGGATCAGTGATGGCAAGCCTTTTAGAGACCAAGTGCCCAAACTGCAACCCAAAAGCCACAAATTTATCGCAAAGTGCCAACACTTTTTTTTTTTTCAAGCGGCATTTTAACTGTTAATATTATTGGATTTTATCTGGCCAGGGCGGCTTATTTTATACTGTATTTTTGTATTTTTAATTTAATGTTTATATTTTTGATTTATATTATAATTATTTTAACTTACTGTTGTAAGCCGCCCCAAGGCTTCGGCGAATGGGGCAGCATAAAAATGAGTTGTGACTAATGAGTTGCAGCTCATGACGTCATCACCCGGCGCCGCTACTCCTTTCCGAGCTTGCACATGGCCCCTATGTGCACTGTTACCCGATGTACGGCTGCTGGGGCGATGCTGGGGCCACTTGGCTCGCGTGCTGGCTGAGAGGGCTCAGCTTGCCGCCTGTGGCGCGTGTGCCATCGGTTCGCCACCACTGTCCCAGACCCTCTCCATTCCAAGATCTACCCAATGCCTCCAATCATCTGCCACTTGTTTCTGAAGATTTCACTCAGATTACTGAGGAAATGGATTCGTCGTGAACTATGACCAACACAAGATGAGCTCTTACCAATAAAAGGGTACGCAGGGTTGTCCCTTCCTGGTATTACCCAGAGCTGGTAGTCACTCGGCCTGCCCTGTAAATGGAGAAGGAGAGATGGGTGGAAACCAGATTGTGGGAAGGGGCCTGAGCAGCTGGACAGAGGACGGAAAACAATGGGAAGAGGTATCAACAAATCAGCTGGAGGAGATGGGTGTGGGATCAGGAAGTCAACAGCTGTAAATCTCATGGAAAACAACAGGGAATGCTGACATTCAGAGGAAGGGGAAAGGTTCAGTAGGAGGAAGGAAAGGCAGCCAGAAAGATACCAATCATAGCTAAAGCTTGACAGTATTAATGTGAAAGGCGCAAAGAGTGGGCAGCTCCACTGCAGGGTCAGTGGATGTCCCTTGAGCCCATAATCGACACTCAGCATTTCACCAGCCAATGCTTCCTAGAGACTTTTGGTGGCCACTCCGCATGCTTCACCTCCCCACCCCAGTTCTGCTCAGCCACCCCAGACAGGATTTCAAGTTCACACCCACCAGGAGGCCCAGCTGCTGAGTTGCCTTCTTAATGGTGTCATCGACTGTTTCTGTGTTGGAGACGCTTAACGTTGTGTTCTGGGCACAAAGAATAAAGGTGCATTTAGTTGCAATCAGAGAAAACTCAGCAGCTCTTCTTAGACAAGGTCTGCCTTTGCCTTTTCTCTGGTTTTTCCCCTGAAAAGATCCAGGTCACAGTGTTGGGTGTCTGGACTGTGGAGCAAGAAGGGCCAAGAGCCAGGATCCCAGACAGGTGAGAGCTCTGAGAACAGAAGCTTCTGGAAAGGGGGTGGCCTTCCCCAGAGCACTCCTGGATGCCCATGAAGGGGCAGGTGTGTTTGCAAGTGCACACATGTGGCTCCATGACATATAAGGTGGATGCATAGCCTGAGGTCCCAGTCAGGCCTCTTGGGCTCCGTTCTGGGCTCCCTGGATGGCCACAGCACCCTCCCCGCCCCCCCAGCCCTTTTCCCAACCCCCAGGGGTTAGCGGCTTTCTGGCTGACGTGCCCCTTTCCCCCCATTCTGAAGCAGTGAACAGCCTCCAGGGTTTTTGGAACGTTGGGCCCTGCAGGTGCTGCCTGGCCTGCCCTGGATTGTGGCCCTCAACATCATCTCCACAAAGGAATTCACTGCTACTCACAGAGGAGCTATTTTCACCATCCATCAACAAAATCGGCATTGGTAGACTTCTGGGATATTCAGTCCTCTTCACTTCATCGATGTGCCTGTAATTCAAAGATGTGTCACAAGATGGTAAATTCCAAGGTGCCAAGCATGGAGATGAAGATGGGTTGGGAAAGGGGCAAAGATGCTTCTAGAGAGCAGTTGAACATGCTCCTTTTCTGCTCTCTGATTTACCCCCTGCAGATTCTTGTGGCTGTGCATCAACTGGGGATAAAGGGTACCCCTGAGGTATCACCTACTCCCCTATATTTACTCTGCCCTGGGGATAGCTGGGAGATTCGTTTCAGTTCAGTTTTGAGCAGGATCTACCAAATTCAGACATCTCAGGAGCAACTGCAGACCTGAGCACAATCCGTAGCTGAAATATGTACATTTCAGAGCTTGCAATGGGATTCAAAGAACAGCAACACAAGCATTTAAACATGCGTACTTTAGGAAAACAAATGCACAAATACTGAAAAATCAACACAAATTCACTATAATCGATGGGAGAAAATGTGTACACTTAAAAATACACACGTGCGATGTATATATGTTGGAAAAAACACACGCACATTTTTTGTGATTTAAAAATATGTATCTTGCCATCTGATACTGACAACAGTTGGATTCAGCTCCAATGAGGGATTCGGAGATGCGCATGTTTGGCTGATTCACACATCCCAACTGAGCCCTTAGACATGTCTGAAAAGGACCAAAAGGGGTTGCAGCTGAGCAGCAGTTGCCACTAGTTTTGGCCAGTGGACCACAAATGAAATCAGCCCTCCAGGGTATGCCACAGAAACCCTGCGTGCTCCAAATGGGGCATCTGGTCTCCTGTGAGGGGCACAGGTAACAGCAAGTGGAACGACGCCGCTAGGGCGAAGGTTCCCCAACTCCAATCCAGTGTGCCACAGACGCCCAGCTCCTAGTGCCACGGACGCCCAGCTCCTGCCTCGTGTCCTGGAGACAGAAGATGCATTGCTCACCAGAGCAGTGTGGACAGCCATCTTTCCTTCACTTCAGGTGAGCTGCAAATGAGAAGCAAACACAGAGGTGGCACCGTGTTAAATGAGGTCTGGATCCAGTCCACTGGCATGCATGCAGACACGCTAAAGCACTGTCTTTCCGGCCAAGACCTGTGGCAAAAGCGTACCCCTTCCTGGTCCTGTTCTCTCTGGGGAGTATACGGATATAGACGGCAAAGTTGCCGCGCTCCATTTCCTGGCAGATGGTCTGGTCAAGAGCGCCTCTTCTGATGCTCAAAAACTCTTTTTCACATGCGCTCCTCCCCACCTTTTCTTTTGCCTGCAGTTCCTAGAAACCATTTCCCGTCTGGCATCTTAAATGCTGTAGGGGAAATGGGACCCTGAACCAAGATATTAGTCATAAAAGTAAAGGGCCAGGGCGTCAATTCTCCTAGCGAAAGTTCCTGCCACTACCAAGTCGGTGGATACGTCCCAAGAGAGACTACATGGCCCACTGGAAATGTGTTTCTGGATGCGATAGGGAGCGAGATTTCCTCTCCTTTCCTCCCAAGAAGCCCCAGCCATGAGGGGAGCCATGGCGGCAGTCTGGGGGACGCCCTCTTTGCCAGGGCAGGATGGGTCGCCCGTGCAGCTGCGGTGAATTTCTTTCCATAAATATGTACGGATGAGAGACACTCGCAGTCAAGGAAGTCCACGAAGGAAGCTTGCAGAGGACAAATTCCTTCTTCATTGATGTCATGAAATTAATTCTTCGACTTCTCAGATAAACTGAGTTTACCCCTTGGAAGGGAAAAGGGTTCCAGGCACAATTGCCAAAAGGCAAAAGGTCGCCAAAAGCACTGGCTATTTATGTATTTAGTTCTCAGTAAAGTGACATAAATGTTGAATTTGGCAGGGATGCGGGGGGTTTCTAAATGCCTTGACTCCCTCTTACATCTTCTGCCTCATTGTTCTTGCTCATTTTTTAAAGAAAACACAGAATTTGGGGGGCTTCCAGGTGGACACCTGAGAGCTTTCAAAAGAAGCCAAACCCGGATTGTATCCCTGATTATCTGCCATGTTAAGATAATTTCAACCTGATGTTGTGATGTTTTATTGTTTTGACTTCTATTCTATTGGGGTGCTTTGAATATTATTATTATTATTATTATTATTATTATTATTATTATTATTATTATTATACTGGTAGCAATATTCTGAGTTTTTAATATATGCCTGCTTCTTTGGGCACATATCTTTGTAAGAAAGCAAAGGATAAGCAGAATAAATTTTTAAAAAGTTTCCTCTGTGCGTGTGTGTGTGTGTGTGTGTGTGTAGGGGGGGAATATTTATTTATTGATCCACTATATTTATATCCCACCTTTTTTCTTCCCCGGAACTCAAAATGGCTGCCATAATCCTCCTCCTCTTCTCAATCTTATCCTCACAGCAACAACCTTATCCAGAGTCTGGGACTGGCCCAAGGTCACCAGGTTGCCCCCATGCCTGAGTGTGGACTAAAATTAAGGTCTCCTGCCCCACAGCCTTACCCCACCACACCACCCAGGCTCTTGAAACGGAAAGAAAGCCAAGCATCTCTGGGGTACAATGAAACTCGGTGGCCTTAAGAAGGACTCCATGTCCGAAAGGAGGGCAGGCTGTGCTCTGTCCCCACCAGGCGGCTTTGCTAATGGCAGCTCTTCCTTTCCCAACATGAGGCGCAATGTATGCACCCGGGAGACAGCGCAGGGATGTGGCGCAAGGCGATGCCAGCCACAGAGACTCCGCAAGGGCTCTGCTTGCTCAGACGCATCCTGGATGCAGTTCCTTGGGCACACTGAGTGCGGCTGCTGCCCCTTCCCCTCCAGCCCTTCAGAGGCACAGAAGCATCAGAGCAAAACTCCCAGCATGCCCCAGCTAGCCCGGCGGACATTTTTGCACAGAGGCAGCTGAAGGGGGCGACTTGTTACCTGTAAGTGACAACGTAGTTGGTGGTGGGCCAGCCGATCACAAAGGACGTCTCAGGGTTCATCTTTTTCTCCGACACCTCACTGAAGCAGGAGCCTGTCCATACCTCATTCAGGTGCACCTGCTTCTTCAGCTTCAAGCTGGAAGAAGACCTGAGTGCCAAAGCAGAGACCATCCTCGTTAACTCTGTTGGCTGGGGACAGGAGGGTTGCGGGTCCTGCCGTCTGCTTCAGGAGACAGCGGCAGGCTCAGTTGTGAGTTCACCCTCTTCCTGAACAGCTGGGACACTCACAGCTTTGCTCCAGCACTGGGTCAGCAGCACAATGCAGTGCTAACTCTAACACAATTCTGACTGCGGTACCCAAATGGGTTACTTTGCCAACCAGTGACAAGTGCTAAATTAGAGGGATTTCTGGTTTCAGAAAGAAGCCTGGTCAGAACTGGTTCCAGGGAAGTAGTAGGGTCATTTCTGTGACCTGGGCATCTCCTCCACCATCTCCCTTTACGAGCTGCCCAAATGTCCCAGCAAGCAATTTCTGTAGGCATGCCTGGTCATGAGGACTAGCGACCGTTGCAGGCGCCTTTGCAAAGCTGCCCTACAAGGTCCAGGGGAGCAGCGAATGAACAGGCAGTGAGCCAAATGGGCATTGGCACTTACTTGGCTTTGGCAATGATTAGCATGTCACTGAAGAGGAACAAGCGCCGCTCTTGCGTCTGTAAGCCCAGGGTAAGCTGAACATGCTCGTCCAAGATGAAAACAGAATTGGAGTCACCAAAGGCCCCAGCCGGCAACCCATTATCTGGATGGGGTGAGGAAAAAATAATTTCCCTGCTGGAAAAAGGGAAGAGCAAATTAATTGCAAAGGCATCATTATTTTGCCATGAAACCCTCTCCACCCACTGCTGTCTACCAGAGTCTGGGGGAAAATATTCCAGATCACTCAAAACAAGGTTGCTTTACAAGTTAGCCTGCACAAATTGGTCCCCTGAAGGGCACAATGAGCCCTCTTCCCCCCGGGATGGCTCAGAAGGTCAGTGATCGAGTGGAATCCAATAACAGGAAGAGTTTGGGGAGGACATTTCTGAAGTCTGGCCATGACGACCCATTTCAGACTAAGCTCAGGCTTTCCGGAAGACCACTTGGTGTGATTTTTACTCTCCAAACTGACCCTCCTGAATTGCCCCAAGCCTTCCTGCTGCCTCCTTCCATATCATAACTCCACTTTCTCCATGCAAACTTTGGTCTAACTCTTTGTTCTTTACCATCACTGAGGGCACAGACTCAGAGAGTCTGGCTCATCCTAAGCAGGCCAGAGCTGGCGGAGATGATCTTGAGCTCCCAGTCCACCTGCACTGCATTGCATTAGACAGCCGTTTTTGCTCCCCAGGAGCTGGAGAAGGAAGGAAAGGGCTGGATGACTCATGTCCAAGCCCCTCCGGTCTCCCCCTGCCCGCATCCGCTGGTGCACCCCTTTCTGCCCCTCCCCAAGGTCACCTTCCCAGCCTCAAGGAGCCGCCTGCTCAGTGCTGCCCACTCCCACAGCAGCAGGGAGCAGTGGAGTTCTGATTCCCAGCCCGGAGGCTGGCACACTGCCTCCCGACCTGAATTTGGAAATCCGCAGTATCACGCAGTCCCTCCCTGGAGGCCATCTGGTTGCTCCTTCCGTCACGCTGCACTCTGTGCTTGCTTTGCAAAGAACTCGATGATAAACGGAACGACGAGGACAAGCTAAGCTGCAGAATTCGCCGCCGCGAGATGTACTGGTGGCCACCCATCGGGACAGTGTGAAAAGGGGATTGGACAGATGCATGGAGGTTAGCCATGCCTTCTAGTCCTGAGGGCTTCGTGCTGCCTCCAGCATCAGAAGTGGCCTGCCAAGGAACACCCACTGTGGGAGCACTGGGCGGGAGGGAGCTGTGGCACCCACACTCTGCTCCAGGGCCTTGTGGGCATCCGGTTGGCCCGGGCATGAGCAGCACGATGGGCTGGATAGACCTGTGGCGGGACTTTTCTTGTGTTGTTTCGAGAGCAGATGCTGAGAGAGCAGGTCAAACCTCGCATTACGGTTCTCGGTGTGTGTATTTGCACAGGGTCATGGACTGAAGCCATTTTGTCCCTGTCCTTACAAAACAAGCAGCAAAGCACACGAAGGAGCAAAAAGCAAGCAAGAAAACAAACAAACGGGGTGCAGCAGCAGATCCCCAGGGACTGCCCATCATGGGAAATAAAAAGTCACCACTCGGGCCAGCCTCCAAGAAGTAGCTTTTCCCTGCATCCAAATAAAGCCAAGAATGTATTTCTCCTATTTGAGAAAATGGGTGGACTCCGGGAGAGTGAAAGGGCTGCTGGTTCACAAATTCCTCTCCTTTAATTTAAAAGCACTGGAAGTTTTACAAATAATTTCCCCAAAGCAGAGCAGTTAAGTGTGGCATTAAATGAAAAATGCTGCTCTCCTAAAAGGTTGTTTGGTTCTAAGTGTAAATCATTTAAGTTTTTATCTTGAGTTGAAAAGAAATATTTATTTCAGCTAAATAAACTGCCGTGAAATATTATTTATGAAGGCATTTTTGGAAGCGGACAAAGTGAGAACAAGGTCTTCCTTCATCCATCCACTCTCTGCAGAGGGGAACAAAAGCTCCTTCATGGTTTTCCCTGTTAAACAGATGCTGGGATGGGCGTATCATTCTACGGCAAGATCCAAGCGACAGATGGGACTGCAGGTAAGATATTCTGGTGCCCATGGGCAAAAAGTCCAAGACTTTGCACTCACTCACAGTCAGAGCGCCCGTTGCCCGCACTACTGCCTTGGATTGCACCCCTAATCTATCCCGAGACAAACTGAAACTTCTTCCATCTTGGTTGGACCATGCCTGCTTTCCTTTCTGAGTTGCTCTGCACATGGATTTCCAGGACACCAAATTGGATGGTCCTTTTTCCATCCAGTGAAAACTTAAAACACAGAAGCACCTATATGGGACCTGTCCAACTCATTCTCATTTAAGCCTCCTGAAATTTATTTATTTAGCACGTTTATATCCTGTCTCAGAGCCACTGGGCTCTCTAGATGGTTTACATAGTATTCATTCCAAGCGTTCCTAGACCCTGAATGTAACCTTATCAGTTTGGCAGGTTATGACCAATCCACATGATCAACGGATCGGTCGATCAATCGCTTATGTGGTGTTCCTGCCCCCATTTTCACTCGTGGCATTCTCCTGATCCAGGTTATTGCCCCCTGTGGGTGAGATGGCTATTTCCATCTCTTTCCCATCACCAAGGTTCTCCCAAATTTCAGAGAGGAAGAAGTTTCTCATATCTGGATGGGGAAGCAGCTCTTTGGGGATTTCTCTGAAAATGTGAAATCTTTGCATGCAGTGCACCTTCACACGGCAAAGATGCTCCCATCCTCTTGTTTTCTGGCATGAGCAACAGTCAGACAAGAGACTGGCTGAAATGTCTGCAGGGGTTCAAAGGCAGAGGCACACGCAACTGTCTTGCTAGACCTCTAGGCAGAAATGAGCATGCACGGAGTGGGAGACGTCTCGGTGATTCGGCGGCAGGCCACCTTCCTGCCAAGTGGCACTACTGACCTCGACAGGGTGACACAACAGTAAATCCTAGTCCAATTGCACATTTAGTTTGAGTATTTCCAAAAGTAACAGCAGGGCAGGAAGGGGAGGCGGAAGTGATTCAGGCTTCGGAGAGCCATCCCAGCAGAGAGATGCACACTGTGGCCCTGGTCAGGAGAGAAGGCATTTCCAGAGGAAATGCCCCTCTCCTGCCCTTCCCAGTGGGACTGGGACATTGTCTCGAGGCGAGGAAGAGTGCATCACTCATGCTTCCTCTTCGCTACTTGCTCCCCCAAACGTCCAGCTTCTCCCCAAAGCCCCTCAGTCCCACCTTCACCTTCACAGACAAGCCTTCAGCGCTAGCTGGAGGACGGGGTGATCCCTGCAAAGCCTCCTTTTGATGAAACTTGTTGCAGGGAGAGGAAGTGCACGGAAGCGGGTGGGATGCGGGTCAGCGTGACCCGTACAGTGAATTCTGCTTTCTTGCAGAAACCCGCGTTCCCTTTCCAGTCTGGGCAAGAACCTCCGCAGGCTCGGGAGGGTCCTGACGCAAGGCTGCTTACCTGGAGTGGCACTTGGACTTGCTGAGTGCTTTGCTCAGGGCTGCAGAAGTCGAGCGCCTCCTCTGAACAATGGGCTTCATTTTCTGTGAGAGGGAAAAGTGGAGATGGGTCAGGACGCCACCCGAGTTGCACCTTCTCATTGCCGAGGGCAAACTACGCCAGCAGAAAAGAGGGGGACAGCCCTTCCAGGGCTAAGATGCATGAGAAAGCTGCCGGAGACACCCTGGTTTGAATCGTGCCCCTCTTCAAAATCGCCCCATCCACGGGAAGTCAGCCTCTTAGGGGAAACAGTTGCGGCTCACTCTGCTCCCTGACATGCTACTTTTCTCTGGGCAGGGACTCTTCCTACTGGCAGGCAGCAGCACACAGCTCCCACCTACGTCGCAAAGAGGAGGGTCAAATCCAGGAGAGGCGGAAGGAGGTGGCATGCTGCAAGCACAGCTCTGCCAGGCCGGGTGGCCGCGAGCAACCTACGGGGTCACCTGACACCTGGCTCATCTCCCCCATCAGGCAACGCAATGGTGTCTGATAGTGCTGCACAGGCTGGGAATGGATGCCACCTTAACCCATTTACCTGTTTGCACAGGTGCGTACCTCCCGACATCCAAACAGCTTCTTTCCCATACCAGCAGGTAAGAATTCTACCCCTGGGCAAGCACAGCGGCAGCCTGTTGGGGATAACCTGCCAGGGGGAAGATGGCCCTGGAAGACGTACCACAAAGGGGACAGGACCTTTGCCAGTGTGTTGGCAAGCGCAGGCTCAGCTATGAGGAAAGCGCTCAGCTCCATCATGGACGGCTGTTCTGTTCGTCTTCTGTGCGAGATCATGGAAAAACATTTCTCAGCATCTGCGCTTGCTGTGCTTACTCTGGGGTGCAGGGGGCTGGTTCTCTTCCTACAGGAACAAGCTGGGTGTGGTGCCCATTCTAAACACCACAGGATATGTTATGACCACTGCTTATTTATAGGGGGAGTCAACCCTGCTGATGCAGCTCCCCAAAGGGCGAGGAAGTCCTTTTCCATGCCCTTCCTAGGGATATGGCTGTTCAGCTTTTTAGAAATCCTCTCGGTTTGCATTTCAACCCTGCAGCAGAAAAAGCACACGCCAGGGACTCCTGGCCTGGACTCCCCCAGGGAGGCCAGATCTCCCATGCAGAGCAGCCAAACCACTGACACCGCACCACGTTCATGCTTTGCTCTAAATAACTCTCTGTGCGTGTGTTTTTAAGACTTCCCAGAAAGCAAGTTCCTAAGACATGAGGAGGTCAGAACATGAGCGTGCAAAGAGCAGTTCTCGCTCCACAGGACCTTTGCTGCCCGAGGCGGCAAGGGACCAGCCCCTCCCAGCCTCCCCAGTCCGAACTGACTCACTAGAGTGCGTCTTGGCTCTTACTTCAGTGCTGGCAATAGGGAAGCCTGACCCACCACAGCGGATCCCAGAAGGGGATGTTTAGGCTGTCCTCATACACATTCATGCACCATGATGTCCCCAAGTCTGTGGTCCAACGGTGGGCCCAACTCTGGTACACATCAGAGCATTTTCCAGGCCACCTCGGCCACCCAGCTCCCCGACCCAGGCTGCAGTGGCGGGAAACGGTGCTCCAGAGCAGCTTCTCCCAACCTGGCACCCGCCAGATGTGGTGGCGCATCCTGGCGGGAATGATGGGATCATGCTGTGATACATCTGGAGCTTTCCAAGCTTTCTGTCTTCAAGTAATTATTTCGACATTCCATCTTTCTGCCTGAGGCATGGCAGAGAACTCACAGCTGCCAGGGCAGATTCACGGAGGCAAGCCAGCTCCTTTCAAGGAAATTGAGCACTGATCTTGCCAGGGCTGCTGGGGAAATCCGGTCTTCCCAGGTTCTTCATGGGACGCTGAAGAGGGGAAGCGGCGGAGACTAATGATGAACCCATGAAATGGCAGGGCACCTGAGAGCTGAGGCTGTGTTTGTATACAGCACCCTCAGGGCAAGCTACCAAGTCAGGGAGCCTGACTTTCCACAAGGAAAGGCTTTTCATGAAGCCTGGACCAGAAAGGATGCTCCACTCTCGGAAGCAGAAGTGCCCTTCCTCTGCGTGGCGCATGGAGCATTTCTCATCGGACCAGCATGCCTCCTCTAGCCTCTAGCTTTTTTTGTTAATTTTATATGTCAACGTCTGGCAGAGCTGTTGCTGTTGCTCTTTTATAAAGCTAGTTCCTAGCTCGAGACAGTGTGGAGATGCACTGGCGGAGACTCTGAGGAAGACCAGAGCTGCGAATGCAGGCAATGGAGTTTGCACTGAGGTCTGCACAGCTTTCTCTTTGGTCGCCCTCCCAAACGGACCCAAAAATGTAACCCTGCAGAGTAGCGATTCTTGCGCAAGGCTGCCGATGGGCCTGGCTTTTCTGCATATGAGGAATAAATAGATGTTTATTCCTATCGATATTTACCTCCTGGCAGGCTTTGACCTCCAGCAGCCGCTGACCCTCCAGTGATGCCCAGTGGCTGCAGCAGGACAGAGTGACGGCCGGTTCGGTCCGTCCTTGCCTATTTCGGTTATACTTGCAACCCATTCTGATTCACTGCTGGCACTGAGAGCAGTCCTGCCCTAGTACATATCATCACTCATTGCCATAATAAATGAAATGTCGCCTGATTCCTAGTTGGATTCGAAAGGATTGCTGTCCACCTGGAAAGCATTTGTCTTTGTCTCTTAAATATGCCCTGCCTGGCAGGTGACCAGGTCAAGCAAACCTGGTCCCTCCCTCCCTCCGGTTCCATGACTCCCACCACAGGATGGGTCAGGAGAGACTGTTCCAGAGGAGGTCCTCCCAGTTCACATTCCCAGCACTTCTCCCAGGGACGAGGCTCACTCCCTCCGGCGCTGCTCTGTTGCCATGGTGAGAGATCCACGTTTACTTAAACATACTTCAAAAGTGCTCAAAAACTTGCAACACTTTACACCGTGTTTGTGCATTGCTCATCCTAAAGCTGCCAATTCCTGCTTTGTATTTCTTGGCACGGAGACACTTGGGAGCCTAATAGGCTCATTCCAAACCCATGTATGGCCTGACGCTATCAATGTGGCCGGGCGAAGTGGCCCAGGGTTCCTTCTTCGCCGTAATCCTGGCATGCTCCCCGGTGTTATTGTCCAGACCATTAACTTAAGACAGAGCACGAGAACACCAAAACACCTGCCCTGCTCAGTACAGCAAAAAAATCCCCTCTGGCATTCCCGTGACAAAACAGACGTCAAGCAAGGCTTGCAGAAAACCTGGCCTTTGTTAGCAAATTCCTGAGCAGCCCGAATGCTCATTGGGGATGTAGGAGTTGCTTGCAAGGGGAACAGCCCTGCTGGTTGCTGGGGATCCCTGAAGCAGCCCCGAGCAGTAGCGAGATTAGCCACTGGCGGAGGCGATGAAGACAGCAAAGATCCAAACACCCTATTCAAATATCTAAACTTAATGCACAATACGCCTATCCATAATTCTCTCAACAACATGACATCTCTGTGTGACTAACGGTGGACTTCCCTGATTCAGAAAGCTGCTCAGTGAAAATGGGAGCTCACAGAAGGCAGATGGCATTTTATCCGTGCTGATGGAAGCCTCCCAAAACAAGAGCCTGCCCTGGGGGTCCCCCTTTGCAGCAGAACTGCTCCAGACTTCCCTTCCCTGCTCTGATCGCTATGCCTTTTCGTTTTCTGCTCCTCTTCCCACCCAGAGCCTCAACATTGCACGTTTTCAATAATAACAGTTATATTTGGCCCCAGAATCATGCAATTGCATTTGCATTCATTCATTTATTCTCAGTCTTTTGCAAGTGCAGAAATGTGCTCTTGCAACTGTCCAATACGTCTGGTCCTTCCTGGTTAGTTTTCTCATCAGTTTCAGCTGTCAAAGGGGGCAGCCAAAGCAGATATACCACAAGTGGTGGGGAGATTATATCTGCTTTGGCACATAACCTCCATTCTATGTACTGAACTGACCCTTCTCTGTGTCCCCCGTCTTTTCAACAGTGCCCCAAGCCTCCAGGTACACCAGAAAGAGAAGCTATTGGCCCTCTTTTTTCAACTGACTGCTATACTTACTGCATTTCTGGGACAGTTCTAACATCCCACCCCCCAGATATATACTCAAATTTAAGGGCTGGGAAAAAAGCAGAGTGGAATTTGCGCCAATTAAAGGGCTGGGAAACAAAAGGAGGTTTATGCACCAGAAGTAACTGCCATCTTACTGCAGGAGTGCAAATTTCCCCTCTATTTACTTGCAAACTTTGCAAAATATTCATGTCTGTTTTACAGCCATCCCCCTGCCAAAAAAAAAAAAAAGTTCAAATATTCCCAACTGTTAGAAATGAGTCCTATTTACAGCTTAACAGTTGAAGCTCTCTGGGCAGTCCACAAAAATTCATAAAACCCATGAATACATATAACGCACCACAAAATTCAAAATATGGACTTGGCAACCATTTAAACTGGCGCAACCTTTTTTCAGTAGCATTACTAGACCTGTGGAAAGACAGCCAGCCCAAATGTCCATTGACTACCATTAAATGCTTAAGAGGGCAGGGCTGTCTTAATGTGGCACCAAAGGACGGCAGGGTTGCCACCAGGTGGACCTCAGTGAGGAGGCCATTCCATAAGGCAGGGGGCAAACACTAAGAAGGCCACCCCCTTTGCTGCCACACGTGCCACTCAGCAGAAGGTCTCACGGGTGGGGTGTTTAGCGTCCCAGTAGCTCTTCAGGTGAGGAGAGGCCCTCCCTCAGGTCCTGGGATCCCAAGCCTTGCAACTGGCATGCCCTCCTGGATAATCCTACTCGGTGCCATTTGGCCAGGGAGCTGGGAAGGGGTTGTTAGCGCTCTCTGCCAGGCTGGCCCCTGACAGGAGGACAGCTCTGGAGGCCTTCAGCGGACAGCCTTGCTTATTTTCCTGCAGTCAGTGCAGCTGAATTCTCTGGCTAGGGCTGTCCCAGCCGCAGCCCTGCTTCTCTGCCGCCCATCCACAGACCACCAGTCGCAAAGGGCTGCGTCGTCCGGAGGCACAAGCACTGAGAGGATGTGAAGCCGGTTGGCAGCAAATATTTATGAGTTACTGTAT